CCCTGGTTCTGCAGCAGCGCATCCTGGACATCTTCCGCAATACCTTCGCCAACCTTTTCGTCGCCGCTGCAACAGAGGAGGATCGCGATGCCTTCGTCCTGACACCACTGCTTCAGGAGATCAAGGCTGCCCTCTTCGCCCGTGACTTCGACGCCGCCTTCTCCAACGCCCGCCCCGCGCTCCTCGACGCCTACGCCGCTCGCTGGAGTCCGACCCGAGCCCTGGCCTACGCCGCCGCGCTGACCGGACTGACAGAGCACCTCGAGGCCCTTATGCTGCCTGTCGAGGAGGCGTCTGCAGAGGACGCCAAGGTCTCGGGGGGGCCCGAAGGTTTAAAGAGGAACCTCAGGGTGGTTTCGTTCGGCGGCGGCGCCGCTGAGATTGCCGCCTTCGCCGCCTACCTCCACATGGTGAACGCGCCCAAAGCCCCCGAGGACAACGGTGAACCCCTGACGGGCACCATCGACCTCGTCGACTCGGCGCCCTGGGGTCCCGTCGTTGAGGCCCTGCACGGGAGCCTCACAACCCTGCCAGCCCTGTCCAAGTATGCGAGTGCCGCTGCCAAGGCCACCAACGCGGCCCTCGTCGACCCGAGCCTTCTTTCCTCCGCCTTCACCCATGATAACGCGCTCACCATGTCCCGCGACCAGCTTGCTAGTCGATTCGGAACGGCGAATGGCGACGGAAACCCCTTCCTCGTCACGCTCCTGTTCACTCTCAACGAGCTTTACACAACAGGAGGCATCGGCAAGACAACGGCCTTTCTCATGAATCTCACAGCTACCGTTCCCGAAGGCTCACTGCTTCTTGTACTTGATAGCCCGGGGAGCTACTCTGAGGCCGCTGTCGGCAAGGAGTCGAAGAAGTATCCCATGCACTGGCTGATTGATCACTGCCTCTTGAAGCCAGAGCAGAGGGAATCAGCGCAAAGCACAGGCGGCCGGTACTGGGACAAGATTGACTCTCAGGATTCAGTTTGGTTTCGCCTGTCCGAGTCGGTGACCTATCCCATCCCGCTCGAGAACATGCGGTATCAATTGCACCTCTATCGAGCTATAAGGTCATGAAAAAAAATAAAGAAAGAAAAGCAAAGCAAGCAATGAGCAAAAAGGGTAGAGCAACGCGCTTCATGTCGTTCCACGAAAGACTCATCAGAGTCCCATGATGCGTACTGCCATGCCAATATGATTCTTCCCAGCGAGGCTCTCTGACCGCCCTTTTCCCACCACTCGGCTATCACTACGCCCAAACAAGCCTCTTGATAGAGTGGCTCAGCTGGTCTAAAATCGTCGTGTTTGCTTGTGCGTCCTCCAATGAGATGATGTCACCCCTCTCGATGATGCTCTTGGTTCCAGGCACGTCCTTTCCAGGCTGCGCTTTGAAGGCCAGTCTCTCGACATCAGCACAGATACTCACAACCTGCTGTGTCTCGCTCAAGCGTGGCCCCTCACCCGTCACCGCGGCCGACGACTGCGAATACGGCGCCTTGAAGGCGAGCTTTCGAGTCGGTGTTTGGGGTTTGGGTCGATGACCGGACAGCAGTCCCATCAGCCCCGAGAGCGCCGCAGGCTCGTCGACCGCCACCGCGGCCAATGACTCTTCTTCGACCTGACCAGGTTGTTTGATAAAGTTGCTCGAAAGCGTACGAGTATTTGTGCGTTGGATGTCAGTCTTTCCAGGCTGGTATGACACCACGAACCCAATGTTTTTACTCTCGTCGGTGTGACCAGGCGAAACTGTGGATGTAATATAAGTGCCGAAGCGGATACCCACGATATGCGCGAGGTCGACGCGTTCGAACGACGATACCTTGTCAAGCTTCCAGTCAAAGCGACAGAGATAAAGGGCAGCATCTGTGAGAAGGAGAATCACTTCTTCGAAGGGTGTCTGTGACTTGACAACGTCAGACGTTGGAGGGCTCAGCATGACCCATCCGCCAACAAAGTCCTCTTTTTGGTCTGAGATGACGCGTTTCTGGCATAATTCGATAGCTGATTCACGCATCTTGAGCATCGACATGGCGGGATCTTTCGTCATCATTTCAGCTTCGAACTCTTGAAAGACCATGGAAGTGACGTTGCCAAGGAGGAAGTCAATGGCAGCTTGACTGAAATAGTCATTAACCATGCTACATGTTGTGTTAGCGAGATCTCCGAGATAGCCCTTGGACAAGATTACCCGTTATAAAATCTTGTCAATGAGAAGCCAAGATCATTGAGCATTCCTCTGTAGTTCCGAGTCTTGTACCGTGTGTAGTCGCCTTTCATGGCTGCCGTAGAAGCGCTAGAGAACCGTCAGTTCAACGAGTGTAAGTTGCTTTCACGGGTTTCGACTTACTACTGCTTCGACACGGAGTCTCCGTTGTCCGCCCACAGCGTGTTGAACCATGCAGATTGCTGGTCTACTTGCATGCTCAGATCGTATCCCTCAGCCTTGAGCTGTGATTCCAGCATATACTTTGCAAATGAGCTCTGGCAAACATTTGTCCGGTCGAGACAGTCCATGCAATTTGTCCGAAGCACTCCACGTTGGCGAAGGAACAGCTCTCCATCCTTTTCGACAGTGCTCCCAAGCTCATCAAGCTTGGTCCTCATGGCATCCAGAAGGAGGCTGACGTTTTCGAACTTCATCCCACGACAGGCTGCGTGGAAATCAAACCATTCGAACGGGACTTGAGAAGTATGATCGCTGAAGACGGTTTCGTTTAGCTTCGCGACAGTATGCTGGTATTCGTTGCCGATTGTAGCCTCAACATTGTGTTTTTCCACCAAGCTGACCACTTGCAGCATACCATATTCTCGGTGAAGGCGCTCGAAGTGCTTCTTAGAGGCTTCAAAGTTTGCCTCTGTGGAGTGTTGTATGACTGGTGCAGGTTTCAATGAGTACGGGCTCTGGGTGAAGAATAGGGGTATACTGCCGCGAATTTGCAGGAACGAGTAAATTTTAGAGCTCTGATCCCACGAAGAGTTAGACAGAATTTGCTCCGTCTCAACAGCGTTGGCCACATGGCCATCCTCATCAATACCGCGGCGCAAATATCGGAGGCCGGCTCTCTTAATGGACCGCCGAGAAATCACCGTAATCAGGAACTTCTTTTCCGAGCCCCGGAGATCCAGGGAGCCGCGAATCGCTTCTGTAGGGGGCGACCCTGGCGGAGATGTTGGAGCAGACATGTTTGACATTTCCAGTGCGTTATTCGCGTCTTCGTCATGCTGCGGTGGGCTCTTATCCATGGTAAACTCCCTCTGCCCGACGAATCCCTGCATGAGTGGGAGAACTAGCGCATCGTTTCCGGAATCAATGAATGGCTGAGAAGTATTTCGGTTCCAGAAGAATGTAGGTTCGACGCGACGGTATAGTGGCAGCTCACCAGATGGAGATTGTGCTCGAGTCGCCCAGTGCCTGGTTATGTCTACGTCGTACGAGAAGAAGAAGCTCCTAGATGACCCGTAAAGAATTTGCGCAGTTCGGAGCAATTTGGGAAGCAGAGAAGACGCCTTTGCTTCGTTGACTCTGTCGTCCTCTTCTTCCAGAGGCACCTTCGATGCCGCCGGGGGCTCCAGGTCCGGGCGCTGGTCCATCGAAGCTCGAGGCAACTCGGTCGTCGTGTAGCTCCAGCCAGCGTTGCGTTTCTGGCCCTGCATCCAGCCGGAGCTGCTGAACCAGCGCTGGGCGAATCGACCATAGCCCCCCTTACGACTCATGACGTCTTCGGCGACGGTGCTCTTAACGCCTGCTGAGATGGAGCCCTCTGACTGCGTCTGATCGTCGACCTCATCGACAGCGTGGGCCATTAACTCGATGGTACTATCGCTGTCCGAATCCTCTGTGTCCGTATCATCAGTACGGGTCTGCAGCTGCACGGAGGTCCGAAGAACGGCATCCTCGGCTTCCTGGCGAGAGGCGCATGGTGTAATCGCAACCTCGGTGACAACGTAGATAGGAAATCCTAGAATTTGAGCGACCTGGTGTCGACGGGTAATTGTAATGAGGAAATTCAGTTTTGAAAGGGTAATCAGGCCTGTGTGAGAGAGAGAGAAGGTCAGACGCCTGCTTCAGAGAGGGAAGCTCTTGTAATGTCAACACACCCACAACACCAAAAGCCTCGAACGAGGCGTTGGGCTTGGTGAGATCAGGGAGTTGATCCCGCGGCGCTGGGGAAATGGCACCGTCACCATATCCAATGCGGACGGGCTGCGCAGGGCGCTGCCCTTTGGAGGACAGAGGCTGTACGATGAGGCCGTCGATCGCCGCGCAAATGACGACCTTGCGAGCGATGCCGGGCATTGCGGCGGGGTTGTGCCAGCAAGGGTGCGAGGGAACGAAACGACTGTGGGACTAGACTCTGACTGGGTAGACCTATGCCAGGTTGAGTTCCATTGTCAGCCCAATAGAATCTGCGCCAAACCCGTGCTCGTGTCAAGTCAAGTCACCGTGATGTTGAACTGTTGAAGTCTAGCCACTGGGCCGTAGAAAGCACGCAGCGAGAAAGGTAGGCAGGGGAGGTAGTCAGTCAGGTCGCGACTGACATTCGATGACATGACGTACCACATACTTTGTGCACCGACCGTGCGTGGCCTGCCCTGCACTAGCAATTGGGTCAAGGCGGTACCACCTTTGCCTGGATCTCCAACGCGACCCCAGCCAAGCCCTTGCATAGGCCAGCCCCGGTACCGTCACAAACAGCAGCTCCGCTTCCATCGTCAAACTGTCATCACCGCGGAGAAAATTGGGGGGTCTTGCTTGGCTTGAGTATTTCGATTCGTTATTCCCTCAATGACATTGTCAAAGTCGGGTATCATATTAACATGTATTAAAAAATAGTAAACCCCTTATGAGCCTGGCTCCAAGCCATCGAATAAGTCGATCCGAGGCATGCCAGCATGCTGAATTACCATGTGTCCGCTTTTCCGCGCGGTCTGTCTCTCTCTCTCTCTCTAGAATTGTGTCACGTCGCCCCGTCTTTCGGAACGTCGTCGCGGTGCTCAGTTGAAAGCCCTTTAGTCGTCCTTCTTCCTCTGAGGGATGGGTTCGCCCTTCTCATCGACGAGGCCCTTCTCACGCATGACCCTGAGAGCATCATGCAGAGGATCCAGTTCGGGACGGGGCGCACGGTGTGAATCGAACGCGTTGTCAGCCCATGTAAAGTACTGTCCGTAGTTGACGTTGAAGTACAGGTGGTGCAGCGTGTGATGTGCAGGGCTGTTGATGTACTTCTCGAGCCAGTGGCCGGAGATCATGTCGCCGTCATGGATGAAGATGGTCCAGATTTGGACGAGGATGAACAGAATCAGATACAGGTGCTTCTGCACAGGACAGAGAAACACAAAGGCGCTGATCGAATGGTCAGTACTAGGTCACGCCGGTTTAGGCTGCGCTTTGTAGAAGAGGAACTGACTGATATGGCAGAGATTGGACATAGCCGTCAAGAGGGTGAAACGCCAGAGCCGCCCAGGGCGTGGGCACTAAAAAGGTCAGGCTTTGTAGCATGCGATGAACGTGAGAAGCAAACTCACTAATCCACTTGTGATGAGGCTTGTGAATGTACTTGTACACGCTGGGGTGGTGCTCGAGACGGTGAATCCAGTAAATGAGCAGGTCGTTCCAGATAATGAACAGGACTGTCGAGACGGCCATCCATGTCCAGCCATAGTCGCTGACATTGCTGTAGAGGAAGCTCTTGCCACGGACTTCGCCCAGGAACCACGGCAGGGTGAGAATGTTGATGAAAGGCACGGCCCACATTGACGATGCGATTTCCTGGCGCACCTGGTTCTTCAGAAAACGTGGGTGGTACTCAAGGCGACGGTCGAATATGAAGTAGTATGAGAATGCGCTGAAGATGAAATACAGTAGTGAGGCGCCAATCTGTGTGATCAGAAGGATCGAGGTGCACTGGCGGAGGATGTTGTCGCGTGCCCATGCCGACTCGTAGACAGCCGACGACAGCGACTCCGTGGCGTTAGGGGCCGTTACGGCTGGGTGAAAGTAGGCGTAGGCCCTGTCAAAGACCAAAGGGTCAAGGATCTCAAGAGCGGCGTCCATGGCGAGGCAATGCGCGCGTTTGGTGATGGTCTTGTCTGGTGGTTGAGCGAGAGTTTGCCTTTGCTAGCCTCGATGATTGAGTCTGAAATGTTTTCTTTAATTGAGATTGAGTTGAGGCACTGCCCACCGAGCGTGACGGACCCATTTTCGGAGGTAGTAGCAACCCGTCGTACGAGGCGCCCTCTTTTTTTTTTTGCCCCTGAATCACATTTTAGTGGAGCCCTCGGCACCGATGGAAATGAGGATGCCAATTCAACACTTTCGCGCCTTGCGGTTGCTTATTAAGAACCACCTGCCTCAAGTGGCGTGTTCGGTTGCTCAAGTTCCGTGCCATTGCCTGATGTCTGTGAGACGTCTGGCACGTCATTCACCAGAGTCGTCTGATGGTTCGCCTCAGAGCTCAAGCTCCTCCGGGATCAGCTACCCCCAACACCGAAGATACAGCCTTCGGATCGCCGAGATTCGGGCCGGACTCCGACACCGCGTAACAGTGGCATGCATCGCGAAGCCGAAGGCTGTGAACCCCGGTCTCACCCTGGTTATAAAGTCCTTCTGGAAAGGAATCCCAGGAACTCCTATCCGTGATACGCCTAGACCCAGTCATCTACTGGGACCATCTCCACCGCAGTCCATGCTGTGCAAGTCGTTTAACTAAGGTGATAGGTCCTCGCTTTACACCGTAGTTCACTAAAGGTCACTGTTCCTCGAAACAATAGGGGACAGGGCTGACAACCAGGGTCGGATTAGCGGGTTCCCTATCACTCACACGGTACCGTTTCGGGTCAGCATATGTAGATATCTCAACATAGACCGAGCTCAGACACCAAGCTCTTCGTCTTTTAAACATTTGGGGCCCGGATCATGACCGCCAATTGTCACCGAAAGCAGTGTCGCGCGACTGATTCATCCGTTATCTGGGCTCTACCTACCTTAAATCAAGATGTGTTATACCGGTCTCTATTAAATGATACTCCTGCTCGGTAATTTGCCATGGCATACTTTATGACAAAAAAAACCGCTGGGATGGGCAAAGACTGCTCGGCAAAATAGTCTAGAGTATAGAGCTTCATTGATGTTATGCGGATGCTGGGTTCATGAACGTGGAACGGGAGTTTCAAGCCACTTCACATGTCCAGTCCGGCAGCCCCGCCATATCTTTCTACTTCGTGCTCACAGCAGCTTGCCTGCTGTCAAAGGGTGCGAGAATGTCCCAATGTTAGCTCATCAGACGCCAGTTCCTTTCGCACTCGAAGGTCGTCGAATCTCTCGTCTTCCCAAGCTAGTGTTTCAGTCTTGAGTTCAAGCCCAAAGGCCACAGCCTGCCTGAATGGCCCAAGCTCTATGGTACACTCGTGGAGCCTTGATATACAAAGCTGTGCTAAGCATATTTCGGCCTGGCAGACATTGGGGTACACGTCCCAGTGTTAAGAATGACATCCAGGCGGTCGTAGCTCAACAGGGGTGGTATGCCACTCCATCGTTCCTTACTACACGGTCAACGTGGTTGCTTCCTCTACGAAGAGACTGGCCTCTTCGGATCTTCGAGTAGATTATTCTCTGCAAAACCACACCTTGTAAGTATCCTAATGGAAGAAGTTCGCTGATGAATTGATACCTTGGTGCAGTTTCCTAGGCTCTTCACACGGATAGTGCGCCGGCTGGTGCATCCTTGTAAGTACAAAGCCTAGATTAAAGATAATCTGGCGCATTACCTATAGCGCAACTTAGCCGTGTGCCAGTAAGGTATAGACCGTCCACATATAAAGTCACGAGCAATGCGAGGTTCCCAGACTTGGTGGCTTTTATTTCTTGACTGAGCCAACTACTGCTTGTTCAGGTTCCGTGATACGCAACAAAATTTTTTACATCCCCGCACGTAAGAGGTGGCCTTGACAGGTTTCGTATGGCCCTAGCATTCCAGTCCCAACGCCGTTGATTTGTGGGTATCTTAGATAGCAAGGCGCTCAACCTTCTCGCGAAGGGTGCGGATGGAGTTGGCGAGCTCGCTGCCCTCGTTGCTGGTGATGCTAGCGGCGATAACAGCACGGCTGACACCGCAGGCACGGCCCAGGGCGATCTTGCTCTTGACGTAAACGTAGGGAACGTCTGCACGTTGTTAGTATGGTGGTCTGGAACTCGATGGATCCGTCCAGGTAAGACTTACTCTTGTCCTCGCACAGAAGAGGCAAGTGAAGCAGGATGGCGAGAGGGGTAGTATCGGCAGCGAGAACGATGAGCTCAGAGACACCACGGTTGAGGGACTTGGTGGCCTCGTTGGCGCCCTTCTTCAGCTGGCGGTAGTGCGAGCACTGCTGAACCATGTCGAGGAGCTCCTGCTCGAGGGCAGCGTCGGCCAGGGGCCAGGCAGCGCTTTCGGAAGCCATTTTTTGGTCGTTCGGAGTGCTCGAGTAGGGTCTGGGAAATTTGGCGCAGGGTTCCTTGCGGTGGCTCGCCCTGATCAGATATGCTGGAATTCGTTGAAGAAGTGATGCTCGTGATACAAGAAAAGGCTGCATGGTATGGCCTTGAAAAAAAAAATCCCACTATGAGAGACGCCAAGCTCCACAATTGGATGGTGATGTGGTGGGGCACACACATTCGGAGAAACATAACATCCGGCTGCCGCGGATCTTAGGTCAGCAAGGAGCTTCCCGCAAAACCTGCACCAAGCAAGCAAGGCGCGCCAGCCTGGAATCCAGACATCAATCAAGCAACCTCACAATAGCAGCCGAGCCTCCAGCCACCAAGGTCCCGTCAACAAGCAACTGCAACCTTTCGAAGTCCCGACCCGAGCCATCTCCCGATTTTCGCGAAGCTCTCCTTTACATTTCCAACACTTCTTTTCCCAATTCATCACCACAACAGCTAAGATGTCTTCCGAACTCTGGTACGTCGCCTACGTGTTGCCCCCCTTCCCAAGCTCCTGTCCATCCCTCGGAGCTTCGATCATCAATGATCACGGATCCCGACATCTCTACGCGCGCGAACACTTGCCCAAAATCACCCAACACTAACATTTGTTGCCCTCGCAGCCCCGTCTATGCGGTTCGTCACCCCCTGCTTCGGCTCCCGATTCCATGACGTCGTACTCGTACACGATGAGCTATTTCAGCATGGCCTCAACACCTCGGTATTCAACCAGCTAATCTCGATATCATTTAGCCCTTCTTTGGTGCCATGGGCTGTACAGTCGCTATTGTCTTCACCTGCCTTGGTGCTTCCTACGGCACCGCCAAGTCTGGTGTCGGCATCGCGGCTATGGGTGTTCTCCGCCCCGACCTGATCGTCAAGAGTACAGCCGCGCTCCCCTCCCGAATAGCTCATACCTCGAGCCCTACATATAGCTAACGCGCGCTTCAGACATTGTTCCTGTCATTATGGCTGGTATCATTGGTATCTACGGTCTCGTCGTCTCGGTCCTTATCTCAGACGGTCTCCAGCAGACTATGCCTCTCTACACTGGGTTCATCCAGTTCGGTGCCGGTCTGGCTGTCGGTCTCGCCGGTCTCGCCGCCGGTTTCGCCATTGGCATCGTCGGCGACGCTGGTGTCCGTGGTACCGCGCAACAGCCCCGTCTCTTCGTCGGAATGATCCTGATTCTCATTTTCGCTGAAGTTCTGGGTAAGGTCCTCGTTTTGGGATTATCTGGCTGCCGACTAACGTGGTCCAGGTCTTTACGGCCTCATTGTCGCCCTGCTCATGAACTCCAAGGCTACTCTGAACACCACCTGCTAAGGGTCATCTCGACAACATCTCTCCTGGGCGTCGAAGGGTCGACAAGCTGTACCTACACAAGTGATCCTTCTTCGGTGCCCGGGCATTGGGACTATTCCAACCTGCGAGCTCTTACTCGCAACTTTCATACGGTAAACGGAGTTGTCCGGCGAACGGAGGGGGAACTTGGGGCACATGGCAGGAATAACGAATCGCGCCATCCGGGTTCCAGGTCAAGGGGCAATTCGCTGGAGAATGCACGCCGTATTGTACTATTGTGACACCATGCTATCCATTTTTTCTCGGCGGACTCTCATCATAGACGGGTGATGGGGAGGAGGTGTAGTCTAGCTTGACAGTAATGCTTCCATGCTCGATTTGCTTCGCTCGGATGTTCTTTGGTCACATGTTTGTTTGGTTGGTCAATTGTTTCCCCCGTCCGCGTCAATTTGAGAGGCCTCACCCGGCGTGCATGATGCCTTTCGACAGCACTCACTCACAGAACACAACGCATCATTTCACAATCTACAATTTCTCATCGCACGCAACAGTCCCAGCTCCACCCGCAAGACAGTCAAATTGATAACATCAACATCGTTAAATAAGATAATAAAAAACCCACTGAAGTATGTCTACAACTAGCCATGCCGTCTAGAAGGCTCAGCTCGCGATTACAACACGTAAATTGCCCACGTTCCGCAGCGCTTTTCATACAGCCTTCAAGCCCGCTACCGCGCACCCGGGATATATACGGCTAATCCATTCCCGTCTCTTCGCCAGCCGTAATTACAAACCCGATGACTTGAAAAAGAAACCACTCTTTAGAAAGGCCAGAAGCAAAGGCGCAATGAGATATTCGCATGTGGAAGTATCCAAATATGTACAAGAAGAGGCAGGATGGCGCACGCCCCTATCCATCCATGTTGCGACAGGTCTCTGTGTGAACTGTCATGACATGCATTTTAGATGACGTACTATGAATGAGGAGTCAGTCAAGTTTCACACTGTGATCAGAAAAGGGCGGGCACATACCGGAATGAGAAGGTAGGGCACCTGGCGTTCGTACTCGAGCCACGCCTCGCCGTACTTCTGCCTGCACTTGCGGATGTCGCGCGCCGCACGGTGGGCAATCATGCCGCAGAAGAAGACGGGGTAGAACCAAGGGAAGGGGCTGTTGAAACCTGTGATGAGACCCCAGCAGATGGCGAAGAAGGCATCGCAGGTGTAGTGAACCTTGCGGGCGAGGCCGTACCAGCCGTCGACGAGGATGGTGCCGCCGTTCGCAGCCCTGATGATCTTGGGGTTCTTGACCGTCTGCCAGGGAAGCTGGGGGAAGGACTTGCGCTGGGCGGCCTGGCCGCGCTCGGAGAAGCGGTAGAAGTTCTTCTGCGAGTTGCACGTATCCCAAACCCAGTAAACGAAGAGATAGGCGATGAAGAGAGCTGTAAGTGCGTAGGGGTTCCAGCGGTACTCGTCGGGGTGGTGGTTGGCAAGGTAAATGGTGCAGTGGCAGTAGGAGAGCGGTACACCAGCGAGGTTCCAGAAGATGAGCATAAAGCCCCACTTCTCGTAGTACATGTCCCAGGTGGGCACGATGAGCTCTTCGCCCTTGGAGCAGGCGTTGGCATATAGGTAGTGCGCCATGACGAGGAAGAGGACCTCGCCAGACACGTAGCCGTAACGCTCGTACTGACGGGCCGCAGCGCCGCAGCTCAGGCCAAGGAGGATGTACCAGGGGATCCTAACCTCGAAGAACATCTTGAAGTCGAGGATGCCGAACATGCGGGGGTTCAGCTCAGCGCCCAGGAAGAAGTCGTAGATGGGGTATCCGGTCATACGATGCTGGGCGCCACGAGCCAAGGCAGAGAAGTAGGCAACGAAAGAGACGAGGAAGCCACTGATAATAGCAACGGACATCAGAGGGCCGAATTCGTCGATGAATGTATAGACAGGGAAGAGACCGGTAAAGTGCAGCGCCGCCATGACCGCGATAGTGAAGTACAGACTAGCGTAGGCGCTGCAGTAGTACTTTAGCTGCTTGCCATTCTCGTGGGCGAGGGGCTTTCCCCAGGCCCAGACGCCAGGGAGAAGGCAGTAACAGGCACCCTCGAAAATGAAGAAGGTCCAGTAGATCTTCCAGGCACGGAACGAAGGATAGGCGCCTGTGTAGACCAGGTTAAGGAGGTGAGAACCAAAGTCGCTCCAGGATTGGCCCTCGACGCGCATCGGGGGCTTGCCGTCGTAGTAGGTTGCACCGATCCACATGTACCACATGAGCAGAGGGAATCCAATCATGAGGGCCATGGTGCCAAAGCTGCCGCCAAATTCGAACTCGCCCGAGAAGTCAATCTTGGGGTCGGTGCCGACTTTCCAGCCGTCAATGATTTCGCCAACCTCATAATTGGGCTCATTGCCGTTGACAGCGGTCGCAGGCTGACTGTTGGTCGCAACGTCGGACAGCACATCTTCGGCCGTGACAAAGGGAGCGCGTCCGGTGGCAAGGGGCTTGACATCCTCCATAGTGCCGTACGCAGAGCCGTTGGTGTGGCCATTGCCATTGGCATGTCCGTTGGTGTGGCCGTTGCCGTTGGCATATCCATTAGCGTGACCATTGCCATTGCCATTGGCGTGGCCGTTGGTAGCGGACTTCTTCATTGGTGCTCTGAGGTCGACCTCCTCGTCGTCAATATCTTCTTTGAACTTGGGAATGCCTCTTCTTCGTGCGGTCTCGGGCTTGAGGTTCTCTGACAGAGAGTCGAGGTCGGCTGTGGGCTCAGGGCTCTCTCCAGCAGGCGTGTGTGAGCGGCGGGAGGATGTGCGGCGGGAGACAGGACGCGGGGTCTCTACCATGCCAGTGAAGAGTTCCTTCTTTCTGGTGAGGGTCAGCGTATGTGACAGGCGGAAGATGGCCGGGCAGCACAAGGTTGGCGAGAATCGACTGACCTGGGGGTTGCTCTCAGGGAGTAGCGACCCGTCATGTTGGCGACTTTATAACAAAGGGGGTGTTGAGGGGTGTGTATGCAAGGCTCGTGTAGTATTCAGAGCGGTGTCGTGGTTTTCTGGGTCCAGAAAGGTACAGCACTGGGGAAAGAGACCAGGAGCAGGGGATGAGACAGGACCAGGCCGTGCTAAGGAGTGTAAAAGGCCACTACGTCGTGTAACGGAGTCCGCATGTACCGAGCAGGAAGCCGGCGCGAGCCACGTCTAACTTTTTTCTGACTTTGCTTCGAAGAAAGTGGCAAAGGAGGGGGCGCGCTGGAGCTGGAGCATAGAGGCGCGACTGGTGCCACGACGACATTCACAGCAAGACTGGTGGTGGATCAACATGGGTAAAATTTTGTTGACATTTAGAATGAAATGACCATCCGGGGAACGGTACCTCCCGGCGCAACACAAGCCGCATACAAAGCTTAGGTACCTGCAGAGAACCTAGCGCCCGGTGAGCCCCTGAACCCTTCCCACTGAGCGGGTCTCAAGCACGATTCGTTTAACAGATGCACCAATCAGTCGCCGCTTCTAGCATGCGAGGCATCTCAGATGCGCCCGCCTGGGAACCCAATGTCCGGAAAGGTACGTACCCGCCCTGAGCGTTAAGGTTCTTAGACGAAAGGTGCATATTGTGCGAAGTGACCCAGTGTTGCCTCTGGATGTCGAAAGGGAGACTCACGTGCTTCGCCGTTTTGCCTGTAAAGTTCTCTAGCCAGAGTAAGATCTTTTGGGTATCCTGTAGGTACCTTACATTAGGCAGCGAGGTACCTAAGGTTCCTACCTACCCAGGTAGGTACACAAGCACTGAGCTGCAAAAGCTCCGCAAGTGCACTGACGTCAGTAGTATTTAGATACATGCCCCTCCAATCCCTACTACTGCACACTCGTTGCCAGCTCTCGTCCCGAATACGAGGGACCTCATTCAATACACCGACTACGCAGCCTAGAAACCTTACCTAAGGGACTATAGGTAGGTAGGCTAACATTTATATCAATACAGGACACAGAGATAGAGGAGCTGAGGATCACGGCTTCTTCCCCAAAGATCTGCCGAAAGGATATGCAAGAGGAAGAAAACTAAAAAAAAAGAAAAAAAAATGGGGGAAAAAAAGGAAAAAGAAAAAAAGAAAATCGCTTGCCTAAGCAATGAATCCTCTTGGATCCCTCTCCGAACGCCTCGCGTCTGGCATCATCTCCCAAGCCCGTGATGTCGTTAGGTCATGACTACTAGGCTGCCCGAAGTTAAAGCCTGTCGTCTTGCTATTTTTTTTTTGTTCTCGTTGTTCAACGATATTCTACTGTATGCAGCAGTCCGTGGTCATGCAGATATATTCCAGCAAGCACGCTTATTGTAACCCACGATCATGAGGGGTCCATATCCAAGATACGACACACCGATTGATCTAATAAGCCCAAATATGGTGCCTCATCTGCTTACTAGAGACGAATAGCTTCCTTGGTCCTTCTCAGTTCTTGGGTTCCCGGGATCAGACATGCAGCTTACAGACCAAACGGCTTAGCTAGCTCAATAGCGAGAGTATTTATGCTCACAGCTTTCCGAGGCGCAAATTGTGCCATTAGATGGTCAGCCATCCGCCTGTATTAGGAACATTTCCTCAAAAAATCATTATACTGTCCCTGGTACGAGAGAATAGGTTCATATCTAGGGCAAACATCGGGTCGTGATCATCTACTGTGCCGCCAGCAAGATGAGGACTCGCCTGGAATTGAGGACTTACTCTGATATGAAGCCATCACTGACTACTTCACAAGTAATCCAAGTTCTAACATCGTTGCCTGGTTATCGTTGTCCATGTGAACACTTGAACTGCACCGAGGCCAAATCCCCAAGCATGCAGAAGCACTTTGCTGGAAGCCAACCACATACCACCGTCGAAACAATGACGATTGCGTACCGATGCCTGGCGTTCTTTCTGTACCTCTCTCTATTGGAAGAGTCTGCCCACTGTCTGTCTGATCGCAGTAGTTGCACCACTCGCAAAATATTTATAAGCATCTTAAAATTTCCCACTTTCTGCCCTGAATACCCTCTTTCCTCTTCTCTCTTTAGCTTTCTTTGCCTTGTGGCTTTGGTAGGTCTTTCCCTCGCATCTCCAAGCCGTCTCGGGAGCTTTGCTGACAGTTCTCGATAGATCATTACGTAGTATCTGTTCTTCTCAGCTTGACCGCTGGGAGCCTTCCTTAGGAAGGCAGTTTCGTTCGCTATTTTTTTAATTCTTGGTGGGTTTCCTCTGTGCATGCATATGATACCCTCCACTGCGTCCCTGGTATTTCACTGCCTCCAGGTGATGCGAAAGAAGCGTGTGGTATCTTCATTGCTGTTCTGGCTTGCCCAGGCTGTGAAGAAGGTGCGAATGCAGGCAGACCATAGGCAGAACCATTTCGTGTGCCTTGGATGATGTCTAGCGGTGTGACGATCCGCCTCTCCCCGCAAGCTCGTTATAGACGAATTGGCCATCGACCATGATCATGTTCAGAGTCGCAGTATGGTCTTGTTGTCGAAGAGAAATTGAAATATCGTCACGAGGCTGCAGGCCCCTTCCCCACTGCTGATTCATGGAGGGGCGTCAACTCATGCAAATATCAGCAAAAAAAAATACAGGATCGAGAATGTTTGCGAGGATGTTAGTCGAAAGCGAATGCCAGATTCAAATGTCGCCCTTCTCCCTCGTAGCAAAGTCTGCTCTGTCACAGTGCCTCGAATGTGAGTGGCCACACCGCTCTGAGTTGTCCCTTTTTGCCAATCGTCTCCAACTTCAAACTTCATCCGCGGATCTCACGTCTCAGGCTCCACCCGGCCGTCGTCACCTTCACCATTGAAAACAGCGGCCATGGACAGCGACACCAAGATGGCCGAGCTCGCGCCGGCAACACGCCTTCTTGATCCGAAAATATTCGATCATCTCAAGGCCCGCATCGACGAGGACCAGCAGGTCCGCGACGATCTCACGCAGATTGTCCAGCGACTCGACCGCGCCAACGCCCTCGTCCAGGGCTTACTGTCCCGCGTGCACGCCACGCCGCGTGCCCAGTACGCTGCTTCCTTCCTCTCGCAGGTTGAGGCCGGTATTCAGGATGAGATAACTGCTGTCGTCGAGCTGAACGAAAAGGCTTCCCAGCACCCTTACTACAAGTGAGCAGCACCTTTTACCCACCCTCTTCTCTACCCCAGCTACCACGCCTCACCTACAACTGAACTAACTGTACCACTACGCAGGTACAACCAGAAGTGGAACCGTGCCGTTCAGAGCTCCGTGTTCACTGTCCTCCTGACCGGTTGGCTCGGCGGCCTCGGCACCGCCTCCAAGCCCGCTGAGCTGGGTCGCCTCATCACCATCGAGGAAGTCGGCGAGATTTTCAACAGTGAGCCAGCCCATATCGAATCTGACCCCCCTCAAGTCGCCGCTGTGATCGACTGACGCCGCCCCACCAGTCCCCGTCAACCTCAAGGACCGCGACGCCTTCCACCTCACCATCGAGGAGTACCTCTTCGCCCTCATCGATCTGACTCAGGAACTCAGCCGTCTCGCCACCAATGCCGTCACCCTCGGCGACCCGGACCTCTCCATCCGCATCGCCGCCTTTATCAAGGACATCTTCGCCGGCTTCCAGGTCCTCAACCTCAAAAATGACCTCTTGCGTAAGCGCGTCGACGGTGTCAAGTATCACGTCCAGCGGGTCGAGGACGTCGTCTATGACCTAAGCTTGCGCGGGCTCGTGAAGAAGCCCGAAGAGGCTGCCTCTGTGCCAAGTTGAATACCGGCGGCATGTCACATCTGACGACCAGGCACGAGGGAAGATCTTAGCAGGTGCCAGGGCAAATGAAAAAGAGGGCAGTAGACTGGCAATTGTTACAAAATACAGGAGGCGCCTCCCCCGACGTGAATTTTTACCAGCGCTTCAGCGCCATCAATCAGACTCGTGCAATTGCTTGCTATATGTACCTCTAACCTTTCCTTCGCTGCAAAGCACCTGACCAGCGGGCGATGCGCAACAAAAGTGTCCATGACGAACCACGAGCCAAACAAAATATGAGAGGAAGGGGGGGGGAAATATGCCACAAAACCAGAACAGTCAGTTGCTTTTATGTTTGTATGTGTGTGCATGTTCGTGCTCTGCCCAAGTCCTGGGTGCCAGCTTGCCAACATGGCATGCAGAGCTCGAGCGACTCACTTCCCGCTGCCTCGCCTTGCTTCCCTTTGAGTTTCCTCTAATGCCGACTGATCCTTGCCATGCAGGTTTACCGACCAGAAATCAACGCTGTGTGCCAAACCTAGATACATGAACCGAGACTTGTATGCCCACTCCCTTTGCAAAAAAACAAAAACAAAAGAAACACAAAGACAAAATCAAACTAACCCCACCTTCCTGTCACTCATGAGTGGATGCTGAGAACTCAGACGCAAGGAAACCCTGATCCGCTTGTTGGAGTATGAATTGGCGCTTTGTTGATTTATGAAGACCATTTCATGTCAGAGCTGGGAGCCCTGTTGCGTCTCTTGCCAGCTGAGCTGCTGGACGCGGGTGCCGGTGTCGAAGCAGGCGCTGACACCGCCGAGGCGTTCCTACTATAGTTTTCCTTATTCGAGTTGTTGCTGTCTGATCGTACCACTGGCGATTGCGCTGAGAGGCTGTTGGGTCGGGTAAAGCTCGTTGACGTCCGGGGCAGACGGCTCTTCGAGCCTGAGCCGGTGGGTGTACCCGATGACATATCGCCACTGACTCGTCGGGGTATCGCAGTTGCACCGTCCCGACTGCGGGGCCGGTAGAGAATCGACTCGCGCTCCTGTGTTCCAGTCACCGGGGTCCGACGTGGGCTTGCAGCAACTTCAATATAAGCGTTGCCGGACAGGGAGGGATGGTGGGCCGTTCGGTGGCGGGAATGGCTCGATGATGTCGGCGTCGGGGGCATAGAGACGGCAGAGTGGAGGCCAGGGGGGGTGTAGGAAGATGTCCGCCTGAGACCAGACCCGGAGCGGCGCGAAGCTATCGACCCTGCGGAGCCTTTGCGTTCGGGAGGCATGCCCTCGTACGTATCACCTTCGACGTGCGACCTGACCAGTTCTGAAGCCAGGTTGCGAACCAAGACAGCCGAGTCCTTGTCTGCCAGGGTCTGAATGGCACCCACCAGAGACTGCACTTGTCTGCTGTTGAGGCTGCTGCTGCCATTGCCGGTCCCCATTGCATCCATCTCGCAGGTGTCCATAATGTTTCGTACGAGGCGCAACAGGTTCAGGCGCACCACAGCCTTCTTGTGGCCGAGCCTCTGACCGATTCCAGCGAACATCTCCGGCATCGCCAGCGAACCACATATGGCGGGACTCAAGCGCAAGAGCTTCAGTAGAGGCTCCAGCAGGTTCGAATCAAACGTATTGATCTTATTTGTGTCGAAACAGGCGACAATGGCGTTGGTAAACTTGCCGTCAAGGAGATGACTCTCTACCTTTGCCGTCTCCTCTTGCAGCCATACAAAAATGGCGTCCAGAGCAGTGACTTGCCAGTACTGATCGGCCAGCAGCGAGACATAGAAGTCCAGACCCTTGTTTTGCCACAGGTACCTTCGGCCCTTGCTGCCGGAATGAGCCATATCGCACAGAATGGGCAACGCAAATTCTTTCGGGGGCCTATCGGTTTGCATGATCCGCATGAGCAAGGGAATGATGCCCCCGACGGCGGCATCAACCTGCCTCTCCTTGTTGAGGCGGCAGAGGTTGAACATTGTGTTGAGGACCTGATTTGATGTTTCGCGGAAATGCTCCTGCCCTCTCTTCATGGTGTAGCTCAGCAGGTCAATGAGGAACTCTATCGCGTCGGCAGAGTGGAGCGACTCCAAGGTTGTCGTTAACATTGATAGGTTTTTGATGAACTTGAGCATGGTGATCTGATGGATAGGGGTCATCCGTCGCAGATCCTTCAGGACGCCTGAGCCAGTTAGTCTGCAGATCAAATCCATGTGGAGTGGCAAAACGTACTCTTGAGAACCTGTCGGTCGGCCACCACCTCCTTAACGTAGTTTTCCGCTTGAGAAAAGAGGTAGAATATATTGACGATCCGACCTTCAACCAGCTCCGACAGCTCATCCTCGCCCTCCTCATCGAGCACCCGGTGAAGGACCAGGGCAAGAGGATACAAGATCTTGCTCCTTGAGAAGATCCTGCAGAAGTCGTTCTTGGGTGTGGGCCCTTGGAGCTCGAAAACGTTCCAGATGCCATTGACACCAATGAGAACGAGATCTTTCGCATCATCGTAGTCTTCGTCAAGGAACTCCACCAGGACATTCAGACCGCCGGCGCTTACAAACATCTGTAGTGTTAGTGTTGAGGTCTGATACATCTGCCGGACAAATGCGGCCGCCTCAACTCGAATCTCGTTTGAGTATTGCCGCGCGGCGAACTTGGTTATGATTGGGATACCACCGACAAAGCAGAGGTTCTCCTGGATCTCAACATCCTCCAGGATAATCTAAGAGGGTCAGCATCATTACGCAAGTTAGTTGGGAAATGACATACAGCATTCACCACTTTGAGTAGCTGCAGAATCATGTGTTGCCTGCTTTTTACGGTGCATGGTTCCAATATTTCCAAGATAGGAAGCAAACCATGAGCGCTGATGATCAGATCTTTGACCTCACCGTTCTCCCAGAGTAATGCAAGCTACAATTGTCAGTGCACTGATCTCCGATTGGGCACACGTTTGACACTTTTCTTACCAGATCCTCGGACAAAACGAGTAGCTTCTCTTCACCCTCTGTCGTCTTGAGCGACCGTACGAGCTCCTCGACTTTCTCTGCCAATCGTGCATGCCGGTCGCGAGCAATGTTCGCCTCAAGATCCATCTCATCCCAACCAGGATCCATGAATGCAAAGGGATCGTCCTCATCCTCATCATCGCCGAGCCACGAGTTGTTGGAAAGCTTGGACAACAGCATCAGGCCGCCATCCTCGGATCCACGGTCGCTCTCGTCCTTCTCCGTCAACTGATCTTCGAGACCAAAGATGTCAGAGAAATCCTCGTCACCTTCGTTCTCGGCAAACTTTTGGATCTCGATGGACGACCTCGTCCTGCGCATCGGCCGGTCAGGAAGGACTGAAGGACGCGAGGGGACCTTCCTCCGCATGCTGCCACCGACAGGTGGTTCAGAAGAGCGAGGCAGGCTCGTGAGATCAGATGGGTGGAAAAGCTGTGGAGCGTCGCCCTGGTTATTTGTGTGAATAACTCGTACGCGAGGAATACTGGATGGATCCACAAGCGGGCTACACACCTTCTTCGCAAACGGGTCGACCCTTTGGTTGAATACGTTGTCGTTGTCGAAAAACAGGTCTGAGTAGTCCTCCACCGATTGTTCACGGTACATCAAATCGGGTCGTGACGGAAGCTCGAACCTACTGTTACCCAACTGTGGCTTGCCGGATGATTTGGCCTGGGAGGGTTTACGGCCATGCTTTCGAGGACTCGACTTCCTTGGTGAAGGCTGCTTCGTCGGATCTGGAAGCTTGTCGCTCCTCTTCCGCGGTAGGGGACGGATTGTCTTCTCCTGGGAGTCAGCATCCATGAATTGATGTGGCCCTTTGATGGTCATCAGCTCCCCCTCAAAATCGTCATCGTAGCTCCCCGAATCGTTTCGATTGTCCACTGTTGAAGCGAAGGCTTTTAGCCGATCAGCAGACAGGAGACCACCAAAATTATCCTGCGGCTTCAAATGAGGTAGTTGCAACGCGGTTGGGGAGATTGCTGTGGCAAAGTCGTTATCCCAATTGTCGTCATCTGGGCAAGGTCAGTCAACGGCTGGAGCTGCGAGGTTTCAGGTTAGAGGGTAGGGCCTCACCGGCTAGCTCGGGCGATCTGAATGCTTCAGCAGTTGGCCTGGGTTTCGCTAAGGACAACGGACCCTTCGCCGGGTTTGTCAAGCCCGGTCGCTGCGGTTCGCCTGCATTGAATCTTGATGACGGTTGGCCAGAAAAGCCTACCACGCCACCATCAGAACCAGTAGATGCTCGCAGAGAGCTCTCTGAGGACTTGAGTGCCTTGTTCCATTGCTTCACCTCTTCGACAGCCTGGTTGAAATTGGAGGGCGTTTTTGAAACAGGCGCGTCACTTCTGCGGCATCCTACGATCCATGGATGCTTAAGAAGCTTTCGAGCTGTTACTCTCAAATTGGGGTCCTTCTGGAAGCATTGCATCAAAAAGTCTCTCGAAGCCTGGAAGCGATCAGTAAGCGATGTAGATATGGCGAATCGTGACAACGTACAGGAGAGATTCCTTCAGGCAATGGCGGGTGGTCGTCGTTGACGATAGCAAACAATGCCGGCATGGCAGCTAAGTTGTGATAGGGCGGTTTTCCTTGGAGCAGCTCGATGACGGTACTGCCTACACTCCAAATATCAGACGCTGGACTGGCTCCAGATAGTTGGATGATCTCAGGGGCCATCCAATACGGTGTTCCAACGACCTGTGCTTCTTTGTCCTGACCATTCGCCAACGTGCTTGTCGAAACACCAAAGTCCGCAAGCTTGACAGTCCCATCCTTGGTTGTTAGGATATTTGCACCTTTGATATCTCTATGAATGACACCCTGATCGTGAAGGTACTGAAGCCCTTGAAGGACTTGGGTCATGTAAACACCGACGAGGTTCTCGGGAAACTTTCCATATGCCTTGCATATCGAGTGAAGGGACCCATTTTCACAGTATTCTAGCACGATGTTCAGGCAGTCAACCGACTTGACGAACCCGAGGTACTTGACAATGTTGTCGTGCTGATTATGCGGTCAGAGGTTGTGGCCCGCGAAGGTCGGAAGCGCGCGCACTCACATGAAGGTTCTTAAGCAAGTCGATCTCGGACTGGCGAGGGGTCAGCATCACATGCCAAGGAAGGGAGGCGGACAGTGCCGACGAACCTCGATCATGCGGAGTTCGCTCTTGGGGAGGTCTGCGAGTTTGATCTGCTTGACAGCCACAGCCTCGCCTGTGCCCCAATTGAACGCTTTGTAAACAGATCCAAAGGCTCCCTTGCCTAGACATTCACCCAAACGCTGGATAATAAAGCTGGTCAGCCGCCATAGCCAACTCTAGGCTCACCTCGCAGAACAAAGACATAGTTCTTGTCCCCCCAAACTGGGTGCTCAAGATATACGCACGTAATCCTTCAGGCCTGGATCTTGCAAGGCGGAGCTCTCCCGTTGTCCCTGCCTTTCCTTCCGCGGGGTGCTTGAGCCCCTCTCTCGGGTGGCCACCACGGCCGCCCTGCCATTGACGTGGTACTGACGCTCAGCAGACGAGGGCGGCAGCGGTGTGGGCATGGCCAAAGTATTGGTGGGCAAGGCAGACCCTCGCCAAGTCGGTTAGCCGATTCCGAGGATTCGACAACTTCTTAGGGGCTGGTTTTGGCGGTCTCAACTCGATGCGTGGTTGTTTGTTCGGGTTCGAGTCGGTGGGGGTCGTGCCAGTTGTCGTGTCAGTATCGTCGTCGTTTTCTTGATCGTAGTTCGTGTAGGCGTCGTCCGGCCGTAGCTGTCGTAGGGATCGGTAGGGCGGGGTTCGAGGGAGGAGGTGAGATCGGTACTAAACGGTAGGGGCGTCATGCGCAAAAGAGAGATTGGGGACGGCACAGTTCACATTCCCGGTTTCACCGCATGCCAGTCGTGTGGGTGTCTTTCCAATCTTGAAAGTCGCGGCAGTGTGCGACATGTATGTGTGCGTGTGTGTGTATTTCGGGCGGTAAAGTAGAGACCTCGAGACCTGCTAGCCCAAGACTCAATCGACCCAGCAGCAACACTGCAGCAGCGCAGGCAGGTCTGCAGCGTAGCGGAATGCTTAGCGCAAGCGTCAGAATCTGGAGGGTTAGTGTCTGATGCGCGACACGCTGTCCTGTGTTATGCGGTCGCGTAGTGTTGAAGGACCATTCGACCACTTGCTGGATAGGAAGAACTTCGTGAGCACCTTGTATGGCTCAGAATGGGTTGATATTGGTGGACGGGTCAGGTACGAACCGAACTGTGAGGTACCGATCTAAGGGAGTGGATGTTTTGGAGTGTCAGCCAAGTCATGCCTTGTTAGGCGGCTCATCCCTGTGGTTTGCTAATGGCCTGGGCCTGGAGTAAGATGCGCTATTGCACCTCAGGCTACTGGCGACATGGAGCTGGTGGGTGGTTAGTGAATACAGATCACCCGCGAGCATCCTTGGGCGAGTCATTCCAGGCAGCTACAAGTGACAGCAGCCCCAAGGGGTCGCACTAACAAGCATGGCTCAGTGGAATGCACCCTCCTGGAGGTCAGGCTGACGCACTAGCAACCTACCTGCGAGACAGAGGCCTCACATTCTCGTCAGACAGCAACGAGGTAGCAACAATGCCTTGTATTAATCAGAGTCTGTTGGCGCTCAAGCCTGCAGCGATAGATGTGCTCCTTGATGTGTTTTTTTACATCTGTGGATTGGTAACCCTACAGTCCACGTATTGGCCAGCTGCTGCGCACGCTGCCATAACAGTAATTTCCTCTTCCGTCGCATGGCCAAGCCTGACTGATGAACCCGAAATCAGAATGTTCCGTGTCATTCGACATGGAGTCCAATCTTCGACATTTCTTGCAGCAAGACTTGCAGCGAACTCTGCACAAGAAAATGTGACTGCTCATCTTGACGTGGTGGCAGGGAAGCCCCTGATTGACCAAGTGCGTCGTTGATTGTGGCCAGAAGCGGCATGTTGTCAGCCTTCGAGGTGGTAGTAAGCTGGCGAGATGGACACCTCCCAATTGTAGGTTCCTAGGTTCCTAAGGGGCACCTCCTCGTCGCCTTCACTTCAGGCCTTGACCTGTAGTGCTAGTCAAGCCCACCTCTCGCAAGAGGGTATTACGAAAAGTGCAGACCCTTCGCGGCACCCATTGGCTGCGTATTTCAATTCGACGGTTTACAAGCTGTAATTTATACATGGCCCCGTCACTGGACGGCGAACTGACCACTCGTCGTCAGGAAGCATATTCGCTACAAGTTCAACGCCTCAAACTCCCGCCTTCGAAGGTCGTCAAATAGCCCATCGCCCATAGTCAGACGGCGTGGTGCGGACGCCACCGTGAACTTTCTTCGCGCCCCCCCCCCCCCCCCAAGAAGAACCCTCGTCCCCAAAGTCGCGTGTTGTTCGAAAGAAACCCTTCCCTCACTCATCCGTTCCATTATTGTCTGCAAGACTGCGTAAGATAGCCCAGGCGATTTCATCCACGTTGGGGGCACCATCAGTCTGAGTCTGGACTTGATCAGGCTGTGCGTCTTGCGACTCCTCTGCTGCAGCTGTGTCTGCAGTGTGATCCGCGCGTCGGGCAGTGCCCCCGAGTAAGGGAGGAATATGACTTGAAAAAAGAGGGCCATACGACAGCAGGTGATCGCGTATATGGCCATGAGCGTAAATAATGCGGTCTGGGAGGCTTTGTCGTAGGCCCGGCCTGTCGGCACGGACGTGCGACACGCTGCTCTGATCGTTCGAGTCTAACGCTGATACGAATCGTCTATGCCTCGACGGGTAATTCGTTGAAGGCCGCTCTGGACGCGCAGCACGTGGCGTCTCGTTATCACTCTCCGAGTCTTCCTGGGCCGAATCGCAAGGTTGCTCGACCGCATTCTCGCGGGAGAGCTCCGGGTCGGTGAACGAGGTGCGGGACGATGCAGCCGCGCTCCGGCGTTGTGATGTAGCCGCCGAGCTCGACGCGGACGCAGAGGCAAACGAGGACCCGGCGCTGGGCGGTTGCGGGTCAGGAGTGAGTGTCGTTAAAAGCGTGTCCCAGACCTCTGGGCTCATGCTTCGAGTGCGATCTCCCAGACCGTCAACGCCGACGGATGAGCGGAGTCTGCGCCATGCCCTGCGATTGACGGAAGTATGCGCTTCTCGTATGAACTGCCCCGAAGCCGGTTGCGAACGGGACGCGTTGTCAATGACCGCCGAGCCGGGCTGTTCTCGCTCGGGACTGCGATCGAAGCGAGCAGCCACTGAAGGTGCCTAACACAAGTCAGCGGCAAGGCAGAAGGTATGAATTTTGGCAGGTACAAACAATTCGTTCTCGCCGGTATGTCTCTGGGTTTGGCGCATCATCAGCGCCGCGTCTGAGGTTGCGAGCCCGCAATCTGACAAGCTGTGATGGTTGTTCTCCAGCGGGAGACGGACTTCCACTGGTCGATCGGCTAGCAATCAGATAACGTTCGCCTAGAAGACTCATGATACGGTCCTCGTCGTCATTTGCCCTCGTGCGTTCCGCGGCCGCGTCATGTCGCTCCAATCGGTACGTCAACCACTCTGGGAGTGGGGGAGGGGCGCTCGGCGGATTGTAGGCTTCAGGAGGTGGAAGTTGGCCAGTTTCTATCCAAGGATAACGCGCAGGCCGGTCCGAAGGCGCAGGATGACCAGCATCCTCCCATTCTCGGGATAACAGCGAGCGCTCGGGCTGCTCAAAGCTTGTGTTTGTGAACGTCTCTCGTAATATAGCGGCTCGTCGACGAACGGCACGAGCGACGTCGGGACGGCGGCTGTGGCGTATGGATGATCGTGTAGGACGGAGGCTATTGGCCTTTTCTGGCGACTTGGACTTGAGATCCGACTCGATAGGGGCAACGAATAGTCTATGGGTTCGGGCGTGCGATTAGCAGGCCGCGAGGCGTAGGGTATGAGGTGAGAGTGAGCTCTGAGCCGGGAGAAGATAGGGAGAAGCGCATGTTGGCGTAGAGAAGCAACTTGAGATGGACTATGCGAAATGGCTGACGGATGTGGAGAGGTGGATAGGTGATGCGAATGGACGCGACGCGCCAGCAACTGTGATTCCAACTGGCCGAAACTGACGTTGAGCCAAGTTCGGCTGCACAGGCGCGGCGCAATGGCAAACCCAGGGCAATCACTTACGGGAGACCCATGTTTATGGGATGGCAGTGGCGAATGCAGATGCAATTGCGACACACAGAGTCAATCCAAGCCTGTGTCGAGATGGCGGGGTGGTCGGCGTGATTGTCGCGATGCGATGCGTAATGATGGTACCAAGCGCGCGCGCGGCCGTGAAGTGGACTTTTTCGGGGCCTCAGGTCGTGGACTAGGTGATCCGTGGGGCGGACAGTTGAAGAGTGGATGTGGCGGGAGAGGTCGAATGCATGGGGGGGTTAAGGGAGCCAGGGGGGGGCAGGGGGGCAAGGGGCCAAGGGGGCAGAGAGGTGACGAGGCAGGCCACTCTCATTCGCCCATTTACTGACGTAAGGCATCCTAATACGCCTTCCGGACTTGTATGCATTAGTGGTAGTGCGGTGCTCTGCACTGTCAGTCGCGGCTTATTATTCTCGAGTACCCGCTAATAGCATAACATGTACAATCGCCTCCCCTGCCCCTATAATTTGGCCGGTTTGAGTAATATATCCTGTGATGGCATATATGGTTTAGATATATCCACTGTCTTCCTGTGCTTCGTCGAGAGACAAAGTATATTCGTCGGATGGAGCCTGGCCATTTTTCATTCGCCCCCGAATTCGTTTCAGTATTTTGACAATCTGTTCATCCATGCCTGTACCTGCACACATTGCTGCCCGCTGTCTGCTGAGAGGTCCAGAGCGTTGCCGCCGGAAAATCGTCAACGAGGGCGCTGCAAGATGAAGGGTGTCAGCCTGAACCTCCAGCGCATGGCTCGCGCCATGGGATCAGTGTCTCAGTCATGGGAAGCCATCCACGTCGCCGGCACAAACGGGAAGGGGTCGGTCTGCACATACTTGTCGGCTCTCTGTAAACGTTCCAACATTCACAATGGCTTGTTCACGTCACCTTACCTAGTTGAGCCTCGAGACGCCATCAAGATTGATGGTGTCCCAATCCTTCAGAGGAATTATGCCCGTTATCGGCAGCAGATCATGGATGACCAGGCCTTGAGGACGGCAGAAGACGGACAAGGAGACGTGCCGACCAGTAGAGTGCTGGCTCCGTTGACCGAGTTTGAGCTGGTCACCATGACGGCCTTCACAGCGTTCGATGATGCCACGATCGATGTGGGAATCGTGGAAGTCGGCTTAGGTGGGCGGCTAGACTCAACCAACGCACTCCGCACCAAGAAAGTCACTGTCATCACCAAGATTGGACTGGATCATCAAAAAATGCTCGGCGAGACCCTGCCCGAGATCGCTAGGGAGAAAGCAGGCATCATGATGGCCGATGTGCCATGCGTTGTGGATGGCAGCAACCCGCCAGAGGTTCTCGAGGTTTTTCGCCAACACGCACTCGGAGTCGGTGCGCCCCTCTACTTGACGACAGATTGCAGAGATCTGTTGGAAGAGCTGTACCAGTCCGAGGTCATGCCTCATCAGGCCCAAAACATGGCTTGTGCTATCGCAGCTTTCCGCCTCGCCTTTCCCGAGGTGAAACTCTCAGTTGCCGAGGCGTTGCCTGTCATGGCAAATGCCTTACACCGAGGAAGGCTTTCATGGCTTGATGTGAGTCGCCAATTTTCTTCCCGCAAGGACAAGCCTTTTCTTGTCGATGGCGCGCACAATCCACAGTCCGCTGGCACCCTATCGGCATATGTAGAGAAGCATGTACGTCAAAATGATGAGCCCATATCGTGGGTCATCGCCGTATCAAATCAGGATGGAAAGGATGCCCAAGGCATGTTCAGGACACTCTTCCGGCCAGATGACAAAGTCGCATGTGTAGCTTTCCGCAGGCGACCAACGATGCCCTGGGTGGAACCAGTCGAGCCATTGTCCCTTGCGAAAACAATTCAGACGCTCGGTTTCACGGTTCGCAACTTTGATGAGAGCAGTACACCATCTGGTACATTGGCCGAAGGAAGTTCATGGGCAGCTCAGCACAACACACCTGTGGTGGTGACAGGAAGTCTGTACCTAGTGGGTGACGCTTATGATCTATTCGATGACATATTTGCACATGAAAGGCGTGCTGGGGAGATTTGAGGTCTCATGTGCCTCAAATCTACTCAGGGTGATATCAGAGACTTGGCTATCTAGCTAGCACGGCCTTTCAAAGATACCCAAATGATAAAAAATCATCATACATGGAATATCTCGTCACATGATTATGTACTTCTTTGAGGGATTTATGCGCTCAAAATCTGTCTTTTCCAGGCGTTAAGACATCTACGAATGGCCCTGATCAAAGGTGAAGATGGTGACTCCAACTCATCTCGTGATTGTGTGCTGCCATGGCGTCTGGATCGGCGGGCCAACGAAGGGCTCAGACGAATCGGAATGGCTGATTGCAGACTTCCAAGCTGGAGAAACTCCAACCTTCGTCGATCACATTAAGGTTGGTCTGCAATGCATTAGTGAAAATCACAACGCAGTTCTGGTGTTTTCCGGGTATGCCACTCCCTCATAACCTCAATAATGTTGGCCTCAGCTCATTCTAGTGCAGAGGATCTACTCGTCGAGAAACACGCCTTTCCGAGGCTCAAAGCTATGCCAACTTGGCTTCAGCAAACAACTACTTCGGCATCCTGCCCACAGGAAGCGACACGACCAGTCGTATATTCACAGAGGAACAAGCGTTGGACTCGTACCACAACGTCCTTTTCTCCGTCATTGCCTTTTGGCGTCGCTTTGATTTTGTAGCATGGCCTCAACTGATCACAATTGTCAGTCATGCATTCAAGCGAGCTCGGATTGTTGAGGGGCATTGCAGTGCCATCGGGTTTCCTCTACACCGCGTCGTATTTCATGGCCTTGATCCGCCCGGAATGACGGCGCTTTCTGGACAGGATGTGCGAAATCAAGAGGCTTTGGCGGGTGTTCAGGTGGCTGTGGACCAGTGGCAAGCCGACCCCCATGGTGCCGGCCAGACCTTAGCAGGCAAGAGAGCGAAGCGCAATCACTGGCTTATCGACCAGGCACTGTTTCGCACCGAAGAAGAGAGGATCAGAAGTGGCATTCAAACAACAATCACAGAGCTTGGCGGCGTGAGGCTGTCGGATGAGGGATTCAGACCGTGGCCTTGAGGCACACTGGAGTTCTGCAGGGCGCTCGATTTTCGATTGAAATAGACCCTCCGTTCTTTGATCTTCAGCGTTCGGTTCTCTCTTGACCTCCTGCCCGGATTGACAATAACTATATCTTGGACTTTCTCTCTTCCGAGCCATGCCTCCCCCTCCCGTCTCCCGGAGGACCCGACGCTACCTCATCTAGCAAGAACCTCACTGCATCCTCCACCATGCCTTCGCTGAAGGCATGGCCGACCCCCTCGTACACCTTGTTTTCCAGGACGACGCCTCCATCATTGTACCAAGTCTTTGTAGCACCCTCTAAAAATTCAAGGAACCGCCTTGATTGAGAATAGGGCACCAGACGATCATCGCCGCCGGAGCAGACGAGGAGCTTCTTGCCCTTAATACGATCATCCAGAACCGTCCTCAGCCGCTGCTGCTCTTCTTCGGATGGCTTTTTCGAAATTGAATTCGTGCCAAAGAGAATAGCCTTCGGATCATGTTTAGCGCAAGCCTGAACCAGATCCCTGGGGAAATCCTTGCTTCCCAGAAAGGAAGTGCCCTTGTCCTCAGCGCTGTAAGTCGATAGCTCCGCGTTCTTGGCACGATTGGTCATGAGGGCTGCAAACATGTCAGCATCGTCACTTGAACTTCAATCACCGGGCCAGGAACTATTCTATATGTAGACAATCGAAGGTCAGACTTACCCATGAAATCAGGACAGCCAATGATGATGACTGCTGCGCGGATCCTCGGTTCAGCGAACAGGGCCTGCCAGGCACTGTGGCCACCCAGGCTAACGCCCAAGAGCAGATGCTGGTCAATATCGCTGTCCCAGCCCCCCTCCTTAATTCCTCTGAGCTCATGCGCAACATAGCCATCCACGAGATCAATGAGGCCCCGGGTATCAGACACCATGCCCGTGATGGCACCCGCCATGTCGATAGCGTGTGTAGCGTTACCTTTCTTCCAGGCATTATTGGCTCGCTGTTCCACGAGACGTCCACCATGATTCCGTTGGTCAAAAATGACGGCTATGAGCCCGCGGGTTGAGTGGCCGTCTCTGCGTCGCTGGTGCCAGTCAGACACAATGCGCATGGCGAAGTCAGCCATATCTTCCTTGCGTCGCGTGCGAGGATGGTGGAGCCAGAGACAGGAGACTGCAGTTGTTGGCAAAGAGGCTATCTCTTCAAGTCCGTAAACATCACAAGGTAGGCCGGCCATGAGGATTGTTCGCTTTGAGGCAGACAGCTCCGCCGCAGGCGCGGTCATGGGGGGTTCCACTCCAGACATCTCGGCGGTGGCTCGAGGTTCAAGATTGCGATGATAGCTGTAGTAAGGGATGAAGAAACCTTTAGCTCGTGGTTCAAGTGACCAAAAGACGAATGCGATACTGGCGAAGCGTTGTGATGTGGTTTGAGCGTTGAAGCTTGCTTCCCTTGGGTGCTGGGGGCCGAGGTTCAGGCAAAAGCTGGAGACGGTCGTTGCGATGTCATCGAGCAGCAAGATGTCTCAGTAGTGCCTGTACTCCAACCGTAACAACCCTGCCACAACGGCCCCCTCAGAATAACGAAGCCAAGTCGACCAGCACATCTCCAATAGAAAGCATTTCAAAAAGGCGCCGTGAATAAAAATGGTTGAATTGCCAAGACTGTCGCGAATTAAAGCTAGACATGCAACAGCAGCGCTTGCTAATCAACGTCGCCTCGTAGCCATCGAAATCCGAGCGCCACGACGAGCCCTGTGATGACGAGAACCCTCATTTGACGCAGAGATGCAAAAACGACCTGTGTGAAACCCTCCGAACGCCTCGAGCTCTGCTCCAACCAGAAACCTGTCGTTAAACCGCAGTTTCGTTGCCTGATCGATCTATGTACTGCTCACTGAATGGTAGCGTCTGAGCCCAATGCATCACGTTTCACTTCTTTCCCTTGCCTTGCTCTCGTCCTACTCCATACTCCTTTCCATCTCTCGGGGTATCCTTCTCAAGCTCTGTCACGGCTCCGCCTTTCTGTCGCGCAATAGATCATGGCCAAGCTATGTTCAGCACCTCGCGTGCATCTGTTGGTCTTCCCCCTTGCAAACTTTAGTCCATCTTCCAGTGGTTTGTGAGGCCGCTCTCTGGATCATCGCTGCCCAGATACAGCTCAATCGCATATAATGACATGGTCGCAGCAATGTTGATCCATCGCCAGACGTTTCCTCCAGCATCGTTCCCACGTAGACTCCAACCATCCGGGCCGTCATCGGTGTTAAAGTGCTGAAGCAGAAGACTGGTGTACATGGCGATTAAGATCGATGGCGAGAAATATGAGGCAAGCCCCAAGAGTCGGTTAACAGCGTCCGATTCCTCCTCGCTAGGCTGTTCCATCAATGCGCGAGCGCCAGACTCACGCACCGCAGGGATGATGCGGGTGGCGCAGTAAAAGACGAAGAGGCGGAAGGTTAGCGAAATGATAGCGGATGGGGTAATCGTTTGGAAAGCGGCATAAAGCAGGGTGAGAGACGAGTGAACGGCCGATGGGAGCGAGCCCAACATGTGGAGAAGTGTCGAATAAGATGCCATGATGATAGGTGGCAAGGGTGGAAAGTCGGGTTCTGCCGATGCCTGACCCTCTGCTTCGGCCGCGTCCGGCGACGGCAGATAATCAGTGAAGATCTGGTAGACACAGAGCACCACGTATGCGAACAGTAGTGAGGATTCGACAACATTCCCTCGTCCGCTGTGGATACCGTATGCACAAAGGAAAAAGGCGGATGTCATGGTGACTCCGATGAGCGCTCCGTCAATGTTGCTGATCGAAGGGAAGTGTGCGACACGCCACAGGAAGTACAGCGCGCTTGCGATGATGCCACCGGACAGCACCAATAAAATAATCTGCGGCATCGTTAGCATGCTATCCTTAGACATGACGACCTGGCTTGCCAACTTACCATCCACGTATCGCTGCGACCCCGATGAACAAGCCACCTCGTGATCTGGCCAGCTGCCTGGATGACCAACAAGCTGCAGAAGCCCTCCATCAGCTGAAACACAGGGCTCGAGTACCGCAAAGTATTATCCCAGCCCCCCAGGGTCAGGAACTCGAGAACACCATTCTCGCCAAACACCCATTCGTTCCATGTGGTGGACTTGGATGTCGCGAGGCCTTGAAGGGTCCTCTCGACCCAGTTACTGCTCCCAGCATCGACGGCAAAGCGCCCCAGTGCCCATATTAACAAGGCGGGAAGGACAATCCACTGTGAGAGCCGTAGTAGATGAGATATGGTCCAGCGGACTCTTGACGTGGCTGGCGTCGCCGCCGCAACAGTAGAGAGCACGAAGTAGAAGCCAAACAATGCTAGACTGTAGGCTAAGCCGCTGTCTCTGCCGCCAACATCGAAGGCGACTGGTATGGAAAGAACGATGCTCAGCAGGAAGATGGAGCTGGAGATAAAGCGGAAGAACCACCACATCGGCGCGACAAGCTGGCTAGCTGGAGCCGCGCCGTTTGGGGGTAGAGTTGAAGTGACGAAGCGGCGATACAGTCGAGACCGTAAAAAAAAAGCAACAGGTGATAGAAGCCGCTGTGAGATCGGAGTTTTACTCGTCGGGGAAAGGCGATTTGCTTGTTTCAGTTCTTCCTCTTCTGCGTCGTCGGTCGGTCGGTGAGGTAGTAGTGGCGCGTGATTTGGGTGCGCAGTACTCGTGTTGACGTGATCCCACAAATCTGGAGTGGCCACGGTCAGGCTTGAACAGTAGCTATCTGCGTTTGATGGCGACTCACGGTGTAACTTTGGTCCTTGGAACTTGGAGGAGGCTGGCAAGCCGGTGGTACCTAGCCTGGTAAATTGCGGCGAGTGGGCTACTTGATTTTTCGACCCTGCACAATGCCATGGGACGATAAAGTTACCCTGGAGCTTCCTCCTTGCTTGACCTGAGGTACAATCTAATGCCTATCTTCACGTGAACCACTAAAGGCCCAAAGCAGCTGATTACTCACTCAATAGTATTTAGCGTCATAAATACTTACCTAAAAGTATCCTCAAATGTATATCTATATAAAATCAATCAGACTTTATTTATATAATATAGAATTATTTACTTAAATATTATAAGTTTATAGTACTGTTTGCAGTGTTTGTATTAATTCAAGTACTAAGATTGTAGTGTGGGTACCATTTTCTTATCATATATAGATGTAGCGCGCTATCGACTATCGGCTGAACCCTTGATGATTTGCTGGCGGCCGAAAACTTCAGGGTCTTGATGGTTCATCGCGTGGGGTGGATGGTGGATGGCACAGAGCAGGAGGTCACATGTCAACATGTTAGTCTCAGTTTTAGCGACCATTCTTAGTGACGAAAACGCAGCATTATCGTACTGGGTACACAACAGATTTCTATGACGATGGGAGCAACCGTGGCGCTGCTATTCCTGGCAAGATGTCGGACATACACAGCAGCATAAGATATAGGACAGCAGTAAGTAGCACAGATCCTGCTCACGTGCACGTGGAAGCTACGCAGATTTGTAGAATGCACATCCGTCCGAGGTTGGTCTTTGTTCAGTTCACGAACACCTTACCCCTGAAGCACGCTGAAATCAGTGCTACGTGCGGTGCGCATGCCTCATGATTGGATGCTGGCAGTGTCTAAATGGTGGCGATCCCCACTGATACCCGCGCCCCGCTACTACAGGAGATGAGCACTGACTTTGTGTTCTCGATGCCCTGAACTTTTGCCGCACTGGTGCGCGAGGCCTACGGTAGCCTCTCGAACCCCTATCCTGTCCCCCATTCCAACAACTCCGACCTCCATCAGTCGATTTGCGGTTTCCGACGCGTGATCCCCTCCGTTCTTGTCTCGCCCCCCCTTGCCTCTCGAAGGACGAGCAGCGCCTCGCTGAATTTTCTTTTCGTCATATATCAATGAAGGCCTAGGATCCCCCCGGTTGTCCCTCTCTTTCATCTTCTCAGATTGACACCACACCTACACCCTCTTACAAAGTCAAAATGTCTGCTTCATCGACGGTCACCCAGCCCTCCAAGCGCAAGTCGGCCTCGTCTGCCACTGTCAAGGGTAGGCTCAGCATCGACGATATCAAGCTGCCTCCCGACTCGGAGCGCGATCCTCTAGAGGTCAAGCACCGCGACTTTTTCTGGACATACACCGAGGAGCCGCATCGCACACGGCGACTTGCCATTATCAAGGCCCACCCTGAGGTAAAGTTTGGAGAGAATTCCTGACTTACGCAGCTCCAATTGACCAGTCTGTTTCTTTGTAGGTTACCAAGCTCTGCGGACCCGAACCTCTGACCAAGTACGTCGTCGCCGGCGTCGTGTCCCTCCAGATTTTCCTCGCATACACCCTCCGGAATACCTCCTTCTTTGACTGGAAGTTTTGGGCAGTTGGCTACATCTTCGGTGCCACCGCGAACCAGAACCTCTTCCTCGCCATCCACGAAATCTCCCACAACCTCGCCTTCCGCTCTCCATTGGCCAATCGTCTCATCGCCATCGTTGCGAACCTCCCTATCGGTGTCCCCTATTCGGCATCTTTCCGCCCCTACCACCTGACACACCACAAGTCCCTTGGGGTTGACGGCCTCGACACCGACCTGCCCACCGCGCTCGAAGGCATCTTCCTCGACAGTATCTTGGGCAAGGCGTTCTTCTGCACGTTTCAGATTTTTTTCTACGCCGTCCGGCCTATGGCTATCTTCCGCATCCCGTTCACCTGGGTTCACTACCTCAACATCGCCGTCCAGCTCGCCTTCGACTATGCTGTCATCACGCTCGCCGGCCCCAATGCCTTGCTCTACTTTCTCCTCTCGTCCTTCCTCGCCGGCTCCCTGCACCCGCTTGCAGGCCACTTCATTGCGGAACACTACGTCTACGAAACCGTCACCCCCGAACAGCGCGACCCCAACAACGCCGTGCCCGTGCCCGAGACGTTTTCCTACTACGGACCCCTCAACTTCCTGACGTACAATGTCGGCCTACACAACGAGCACCATGACTTCCCCGCCGTGCCCTGGACCCGTCTGCCCAAGCTCAAGGCCATCGCCAATGAGTTCTACGACGATCTTCCCCGCCACGAGAGCTGGAGCTATGCCATCTGGCGGTTCATTTTCGATGAGAACGTCGGCATTAAGAGCCGTGTCAAGCGGAAGGAGGGAGGCCGCAAGGTCGGCGGTGGTGCTAAATGGAAGCAAGACGAAATTGAGGCATAGATGTTATTACGGAAAATCGGCAAATGGACTTGCAAAGAAGAGAAGGCTCTGCCATTGTGCTGGTACAATGCTTGGTAAACCATGTTTGCATTGGTAATGAATTTGTTTATAGACATGAAAAGTATGATACCATTGGATTCCTGGTTCGCGCCAGTAATGTCGTGCTACAACCGTTGGGCCGCTATGCGGCAGGTTCCTGCAGTTCTCACGTTGCACGACGACGCACAAATGTGCCAAATGCACAATCGATAAAACTAAGGGAACAAAATGTACAGAGTGTGTGTATGAGCAGACACCTCGCGCCCAGCTCCAGGGGGGCCAACACCCCTTTCCCAGCCCCTGCCCCGAATATTCATCTCACATCACCAAACATGAGCCAATCGACGGTCGCAGCCCTTCATGGCGGTGACGCTGAAGACTGAAACACAGTATTTAGAACCCGTCCTAATTGCGCCCCCCGTGAGAGGCCGCCCACCATTCTTCATACTCCAGTACCGCTATGCGATTGGCGTCTTCTGTTGTTGTCCAGTGGGAAGCCAAAATACAGATCCTACCACGTGTGTCTCAGAAGAAGAAGTAGGCGAGCAGGAAGCTCAGAAGACAAAGCAGCGCGACGATTTGAACGGAGACACCGTCAACGTTCTGTCGCACGGCCGCGGCGGCTTCCTGCGTCGAGGGCAGCTTCTCAGTCCCCGCTTTGACGCGCTGCCGGAGGCCTCCTCCCTCCTGAAGGGCGATAATTTTGGCCTCTGCCTGCTGCAGCTTCGCCTTGATCTCCTCGTACGTGAGCTGAACAGTGTGGGACACGGCGGCGGTGGCGGCAGAGACGGTGGACTGGTCGTGATCGGAGCCTGCGTCGTGCTGGGACTGTGCATCGGCGGCACCTCTGTAAGACGGAGGCGCAGGGCTGGTGCCTGATCGGGCATCTTCTCCGGGAGAAGAGAAGGTACGCGACACATCAGGAGTGTCATTCTGTTGTGGCCTGTCAGCTCAATCTGGTCATTTCCCCACGAGGGGGGAAGTTGAGGTGGAGGGAACTAACCGTCGAAACATCAGTAACTGAGCGACGGCTGGGTGTCACAGCAGGGCCAGGAGCGCTGGCGCCTTCCTCAGACGACGTGATCCAGTTCACACGGATCTTCCTCTCCTGGATAGAGGACTTATCGGAGGTCTCGAGCTGCAAATCACCTTATTAGGCATCGGTATGATACGTCGCACGCAGATGAGATCTTCTTACGACGCTGGCAATGCTGGCAAATTCTTTGTCACCAGTAATAGGGGCAGACTGCACCAAGAACTTGTCGCGACATTTGGTGCCAGGGGCAGGCTCCTGCTTCATGGCCTGCAATAGGACTTCTTCATGTCAGCGCTCATGTTGGCTGCTTTAGCACATTGCTCCATACCAGTTACTTCAACATCTTGGCCAGGTTCAACGCGGCCAGAGTTAGGGCGAACGCAGTACTGCTTCGGGGCGGTGGTTTTGACCTTTGTCGCATTAGCCACACCATCTTGCGACGCGGACTGATTATGATTATACCTTGAAGGCAATAGGAGTCTGGTTGGGGTTTTTAATTCGCAGGGTTCTGGAGATCTCGACGGTGAAGGGCTCTGTCTATAGTCAGTAGGCAGCACGTGGAAGGGGGAACACTGATTTGCAAGCAAACATACGCTGAAAGCTGAGCTCAAATGGCTCAATCTCGACCGACATGATGGCGATAGGGGTTTATTTTGGTGCGCAAGTATTTATTCGGAGAAATCTCTCTTGATCTCAGCAGCTTGTGAGGGGGGTTGCGGACGAGGGTTGCAGCTGTACTGTCTCGTGAAAGTTGGCCGGGTTATGTGGAAAGTCCGTAGCTCTGTCTTGTTGCATCACCAGCAACCTAAAGCTGGCAACAGCGCCCCGACGTAATGAGATGCTCTGGACCTGGCACTTGGTCCGAGCTCTGCCATAGGGATCCACTCTCCTCTGTTTCTTCTTCTCCCTCCGTTCAGCTGGCACTGAGCCCGCGGTGGTTCGACCCCTCACAACCAGCACGTGATTCCGTCATTTCCTACACCGTTCTGGAAAGACGACGAGCATTATTATATAATTAGGAGGCATACCATCACGGATCATGCTGGGCAGTACCAACTGCTGTGTATAGATCACACCAATGGCGTGCAGCGGGGGCTGAGGGACCGCTTCATTAGGCAGGATGAGCAGATTGCAATGGAGGGCCTGCTGCATTACAGCAACAATCCAGCGTCATGTACTCGGACAATGATTCCAACATTTTGTTGCTGCCTCGAGTGGCCTCCAGGTGATGGGTGGGGCTGGCCTTGAATTTCTAATGAAGAAACCCCTCCTTAAGGCCCTGATATGGATGACGTAAGTGGGCTCATCGAAAGTGATGCCTCCTGGATAGAATGCTCTGGTTGGAGCAATCCGTTCGGTTTAACCATACGTTACCACCAACAACCATCGGAATCTTATACGTGTGATCCACCCCAAGAGCTTCCCTTCATCAACTATCCCCGCCAACCCACTACCTACAATACACCACTGCACACTCTGCCGCCAATATGGGACAGTCCGATCTTGACCTCCTGCTCGACATGGGCTTTGAACGTGCACGCGCTGAGCTCGCAGTTAAGCAGTCTGGTGGATGTAAGATGGTCTAGCCTACTGTCTCGACCCAAGTACTGACCGAGATACATCAGTGCAGGGTGCTCTTGAATGGCTGGAAAATAAACAAGATAAACCGCTCGAAGAGCTTGTGAATGCCTCAAACGCCAACGCCGCCGGCGACGACGACGCCGACGATGCCGACGAGGTGAAGGCTAACATCGAAGCACTCGAAAGCGGAACGGCCAAATCACTTGTCTGCAATGACTGCGGCAAGCTGTTTAAAAATCAAGATCTTGCTAGTTTTCATGCTTCAAAAACGTATGGCAGCCTCATTGGAGTAATAATCTGTCTGTTATTGGGGGCACGCTGACAGGCTTGTACAGCGACCATACAGACTTTTCTGAGTCCACTGAAGAGATTGCGCCATTGACTGAGCAGGAAAAGAAGGAAAAGCTCGAAATGTTACGAGAGAAGCTTAAGGCAAAGCGAGCCAACCAGGCTGCTGTCGACAGAGAGGAAAACAAACGCAACGAGTCGATCCGCCAGAAATCTACGCAAGAGAGTCAGGATGCGAAGGAAGAGCTCCAGCGAAGAGAACAGATCAAAGAGGCTGCCCGCAAGCGCCAGGAGAAGCTCGACGATCTCGAAGCCAAGAAGCGCATTAAGGCGAAGATTGAGGCGGACAAGGAGGACCGCCGTCGTAAAGCTGAACAGGCCAAGGCGGCGAGAGAGGGCCATCCGGCGCCTGCACTAGGGCCTGTCACTGCTCCCTCTCTTCCCAAGGTCACCGCAAATCACTCAGAGGCCCGACTTCGTCTTCAGACTGCAAACGGCAATATCCTCAAAACATTTGCTGCAGAAACCACGCTCTTCGAAGTGGCGCAGCACTTGCAGTCGGAAAGCGGTATTGCGGTGACGAGCTTCTCGACCACCTTTCCCAGGAAAACCTTTGAGGGATCTACTGACTTCAGCAAGACACTAAAGGAAGCCGGTCTGGTGCCTAGCTCTGTTCTGATTGTCAAATGAGGCGCCACTCCGCAGACAACGGAACGGACATTTAAGGTTGACTCATGGGGTTGCATAGCTTTTGGCGTCGGGATGATGAAGCCGCCGTTACAAGGTGACGGGAGGTGCTAGATCAGCACATACACACATACAATTGCAGTTCACGCTCTTCATGAGATGCCCCAGCCTGATCACACACACATACACACGCACCGAGATATCACTGTTGGCATCTCACGTCTCTCCAATTCCCCAATTGTTCTGTCAGACTCGTCGTGGAATTTTTTGAGGTTGTCCCTGTGAACTCCGTGTAGAGAGCGTTCTTCATGAGAAGCTACTCCGTCCAGGCAGCCGGATATCGTGCCTCCATCCAACCCCTTATGATCGTGCGATTCGCAGAAATTCCGGAGCCATGCAGTTGAAGTACAAAGGGAAGGAAGTTGTCGTCGTTGCGGGTTTAAATCGCTTAATCGAAAAGACCGAAGCCCATGTCGTCGTCCGACTCCTCCTTCTCTGTGCCATGTGTTAGCTCTTGATCGTCTGAGACTGTGGGATCATGGTAATAAACCTACCCTCCTCCTTCGGCGCCTCAGCCTCGGCCTCAGCGGCACCGCCAGCAGCGGCACCACCAGCGGCGGGGGCGGCGGCGGCACCGCCACCGGAGCCGACGTTGGACAGAAGGTCCTTCACGTCCTTGCCCTCAAGAGCCTGTGATCCCCCATGTTAGTCCGAGAGTCCGTTGTCGTCGGTTGCTGTAATGGTCGTACCTTGGCGAACAGGGAAGTCCAGATGGGCTCGACATCCTCGACCTTCGCGGCCTTGATGAGGGTCTGGAGCTTGTCGGCCTGGTGAACATTATATCATTAGCAAATTGTCTGTGGTTCTGCAAGTCGCTACGTCTGCCCCGCGACGTAGAGGAAGCAGTTGGAACTCACAGTGATCTCAATGCCTTCATCGGCGAGGATGAGCGCCGCGTAGGACGAAGCAAGTTCGGCGTTCGACATTGTGATGGTGATCGGTGGGTTGAGACTGATCGGTAGGCTTGTCAGGCGCAATGCGGTTGTGATCTCGAAAGGAAGTCTTAAGATTACAAGCGCGAAGTCACCACACTGAATTTGCCCGTCCAAGATAATTAGCAGGGCTTTGAGACCTAAGCGAAAAGGCATTCATAAATGGGTCCTCTGATCCGTCAAGGGATTCTGGTTGGCTGCCGGCTCCAGCCAATCATTTCTGGGTTATGGGGCACTGCCTCTTGGCCGATCGAGCAGACCCCCTGCTGATGTGCCGCCTTGGGGACTTGCGTCTACCCCACCTTGTCCACTTCCGTCGTGATGTTCCCCTCCCCCCACTATGACCTCCTGCACGACCATCAGAGACCCTCTGACGTTCTGCTGGTTCCATCACATTTCAGCTTGTCGGTACTTTGAGATCTTACCATCAAGCGCGAACATCGTCAAAGTGACATATCAACGTCAGACGCGTTCTCGTTAATATCGTTGCTAACATAGACTTACCTATTGATCCGACCGAATACATCCAACCCAGCGCTCCAGCCGCAGTGCAGCGTCCTCAGCCGAGGCGACCCGAGTCATCTGCGCCTGCACCCAGCTTCGAAGCTTTCCCTCCGCCGTCACCACAGATCCTTCGGAGATCACGATAGACAGTACAACCCTTCTTGCAGGCTCGTACACATCAGGTAGCCGAGAACTTCCCTCCGCGAGAACAAAATGGACACTCCGACATTCCCGCCACCGAAGGATGCCGCGGAGCAGGAGGTCCTCGATAGTCTTGTGTCTATCCGCGACAAACTGCAACTTCTCAAGCAGGATCGCAAGACGTACATGCAAAAACAACATGTTATTCCTTTATACCAGGAAACCGTTGAGCAAGTCCGCCGACTCAATGAATCTCGTTCCGGCGACCAGAAGATTGAGGAGAACAGAGGTAGCTACCCACACTTTCGATGGCATATAGGAGTGATATGTCCTTGCAATCCATTCTGACCCTCTTGACAGTCGATAGAGTGCTGGATAGCTGTTTTCAGCTGCTCTCGCTCTGCTTCATGACGATTGGCCAGAACAACAGCGCACCAGCTGCTTATGCTCTTACCGCCACCATCAAGCGACTACTGGACCACTTGACAGAAGTCGACTTATTCAGCGCCAAGGATCTTGAATCTATTTCGGAGACACTCAACCAGTTGTCACGCAATATCAAGCACAGTTCCGAGTATTCCTCGCCGTACTTGATTACCCTTCTCATGAACCGACTCGATCTTTGCAAGAGGTCTTTGGCCAGCCTTCAGAAGCGCCTAGGCCGTCTGGAGGACCCATTGCCAAACGTGCACGAGAAGCTCATCTCTATATTGCGCTCCATATCTCTAGCCAATACACGCACAAAGGTATTGGTACTCCTTGCCCTCTATTGCCTTGAATGTTACTTACAGGTCTGTTTCTCAGTTTTCGGCATCAGAAGTCAAAAGCTTGCGAGCGCAGCTGAAGGAGGTTGACGAGAAAGTCAAAGCCAATAAGTACTTGACAGTAGATGGCAGGCAACCGGCAGGCAGCGAGGATGTCGACTTCTTGTTGAGGAAGTGTTTGCTTTGGTCGGACATTGTTCTCGAAAGGTACGTTGGCATGACAATCAAATCCTTGCTCTAGACGCTGACTGGTTTTTTTCAACAGGCGGGGTGTGATATCTGAGCCGTTCAAAGCCACCTATGACATTCTAGTACGCATCAGGAACGACCTTGAAACCCTGTCTATCACTAGCAAGTGGTCCCTTCGCGAGGCAGACCTGTACGACTTTCAGCGCCAGCTGGACAAAATCGATGAAAGCCGAGTAAACGGAAACTGGAAGGATGAAGACGGCAAAGAAGCAGAGCTTTATATTCAGAGGGTAAGTCCCGCTGCGTCGTATACATGATGACGCCTAACTCTAGTGCCAGACCTTGTTGTACCTTGTCCGGAGAAGTTACGGTTACATCTACTTCCTGATGATTTCGTCGAACCCAGTGTCCGAAGCTTTGCAACCTACCTTCAATCAGCTTCAAACGTTGAAGAAATGCTTGATCGAGGTCAGGAACAATGGTGGAGTATCAACTGTGAGGGAGCTGTACCCATATAGCCTTAAGGTATGCCTTGGATGATGCTGTTTGCACAGCCCTCGCTTACATGGTTGCAAAGCTCAACTCGATTGACAACTTGCGAGTTGACGGCAAGTTCATGTTCAACGGCGATATTCCTGAAGGCCAAGGAAGCGTAAACGAACTCTTGGCCGAATGCTTCGAGATTAACTACGAGCTACGAGTTGCAGCCGAGGCAGCAGCCGAGGCGGCGGACGTGGACGATGACGAGGAAGAGACGGCAGTGTCTGGGGATGTGGATGCCGAGGCCTCAACCGAGGCTCTCGCTAAGGCTCTCGAGGACTCGAAGCTTGAAAACAAGTCCGAAGGTCAGGTCACAGCTTAAGTGAGTGTGTGCTCAAGGCTCCGCCTGACTTCCAGCTTCCCTTCGCGCTTTGTGCGACCAATGCTTGACTCAAGGCACGTGAAATCGGTATTTGGAGTTTCCGGTCAAGATATGCGGCAGACTTATTACTTCAGTGGTTACCCCGGTGTTTTCGCGGTCATTCTACCGCACTCTTTCGAGTCTACGGTTGTACTATTTAATTGTTACAGGCGGAGGCTTCAGGTTGAAGAGGGGAGAATCCAGGAATCGGCGAATTGAGGGCGTTGTGTCGGTCACGGCATAATGATGTGTTGAGCGCACACGAGTGGTGTCTATTTAAGGTCATGGGTCGCTCAAATTATACAACAGTCTCCCTACTGTTCTACGGGGTGTCTAAAGGCGCATTTGAACTGTGAATATGTCAGTCGGTTGGGCTCTTCAGTTGTGGCAACGGAAGGATGGCGGCGGAACATACTGGCCACAGTTGGACCTGACAAACATATTAGTAAAGCAGTATTGGCAGCGATGCGGGACTAGATCTACCTTTTCGAGATCCCAGACTCCAGCCTCAGCATAAACATCCTTCTCCAGCCAACCCATAATCTCCTCCTTGGATTCTGCGAGACAAACCAGAGTACTGCCGTTGAATTTCAAGCTCGAAGGCTCATTATCCGCAGGGACCTCGTCCAAGAGAGCGCCCCCCATCCTAAAAATACCGGCATCAAGCTTGTCCTGGAGGTTTTTGAAGTGCGTACTAAAACAGCGTAAGAAGGAGGGACAATACGGGATATGGACTTAGCCTTAGCGAGTATACACTGCGGGCTCGAGTGTGACATACGGGCGGACCTCGAGGCGCTTGGCGAGGGTATTGGGCTTGTCGGGAACGACAACGAGCCACTCGTACTTACGAGGTGTGGCGGAGGATGTCATGCTGTGTTGGAGCCGGGTGATGCTGGATAAGTTGGGCTGGGCAGGACGAAAACGAGGGATAAGTCGAGAAGCCATGACGATGAGATGCAAACGACGTGGACGCTGTTCTTTATATGTCAATAGTGCATGGAAATGCCACCAAAGCACTGTGATTACGATTCCGGGAGGGACCTCTACGCAGCAAGGTCACTGTAACCGGGCTTGGTTGGTTGGTAATGTTGGATGTATTGGGTGACTGAGGGAGGGGGAGCGTACGCCCTTCAGCGCGCATCTGCGCCCTTTAGCGTGGCTTACATGTCTTGGGTGCTCGCTGACGAGCATCGATGACCCCACTCTCAAGGCAAGCTGTAACAATGCTAGTGGGCAAACAAGTAGGATTCATGGATGTTCAAATGCTAGAAATCTAAACATATAAGAGGTTTCTGTCGTCTTCAGGGTCCTGTTATCTCAAGGGTATTTCTTGTTCTAGTTGGATTGGTCATCGTGATGAGGCCGACTAGTGCGTTAGCTGCTTAACTGAGCTCACTGAATGCGAAAGTTGGGAAAAGGGAACTCTGACTCGATTTTGCCCCGCCTTGATATTCTCTTGTGCAGCCCAACTCACTCATTCATCACATCCGTTGGTCGCTTTTTGATACAAGATCGCAACACCGGGTTTGGGGCAGTCACACTTGAAGGCTGCTCTGACCTCAGACATACACGTGTCGGACACGCCAGTCTGGTCATACCACTCTTCAAAATGTCCGCGCACGCGACAACAGACCCCTTCGACGACGTCATGAATCTTGAAGAAAGGTTCTATGATGAAGGCTACACCCAAGGCACAAAAGATGGCGACAGGGCCGGTAAAATTGAGGGCCGCTCCGTCGGACTGGCAAACGGCTATGATAAGTTTTTGGAGAGTGGGCGTCTTTATGGCAAGTCACTGGTGTGGGCAAATCGACTACAAGTTCGAGCACCATCATCCGCCGAGGTAGAAGGCGCGGTGGCGGCAAGCACACCAGCAGGTCCCGCATCGACGACGGTCAAAAATTCAACAGGAGCCCAGAATAAGTGTCTCCTACCGCCGCTTCCGAGCACAAATTCTAGGCTTGAGAAGAACATCATTGTGGCACATGCGCTTGTTGAACCGGACACTCTGTCAACTGAAAACAACGACGACGCCGTCAATGATTTCGATGACCGGGTGAAGAAGGCGCAGGGCAAGGTCAAGGTCATTGAGCGGATGCTTGGCGAAAGTGAAACTGCTGTCCATGGGAAGGCAGGAGGAGCCGCTTGAAGTTTAATCAGACGAGGTCGAAGTCGGGGTGGACCAGATGTTCATAGGGGTTTCGATGGCTTTCGACTGAAGTCGCCAGAATTGCTAGAGAACAACCTGGGCCCGGACAGTCAGTCGCCTTACGTGGCGCAACCAACAGAGGCGAGCCTACTGATGTCGCGCCTCGGGGACAAGACACGGACCAAGAAATAGAAACCACCCAGAGACAAGGGTCCGAAAGCGACTTCTTGAATGAAATCTATTGTATTCTCCATGTACACTGTTCAACGTTCCCATGCGCCATAACTACACCCCTTGACTCAGACGAATGACCGGCAAGAGTACCTAGAGTCAAAATCAGCACAGGAATTAAACAGTGGAGGAAAATGATGCACTCACTCGGCGGGGTATGATCCCTCAGTCTTGGGCTCGTACTTGTGTACATTCCAGGTTCCATCCGCTGCCTGCGCTGTTCCCGCTGGCGTCGGAGGAAGGCCGCCGATGAAGACATCCTGCTTCACCTCTCCGGGGCTCTTCTTTTGCAGAAAAACGGCGAGGCCGCCCTTCTCGCCCTCAGCCTGGGCCTCGACGAGGGCCTTCGCACCAGCCTCGCCGATAAGGTCAACCTTCGGCGATGCGGCGGAGCCGACGGTCAGCAGGCTCACGACATCGGGCTGGCCAAAGACGCTCGTCTGAGGGTAAGCGCGTCGAGAATCACGCTTGAAATAGGCATTGTCGGCAATGTCGCCGGCGGGAATGGTGACAGGGTCGTTGTAGGAGAGGGGGTCGTAGGCGCCAGGGGCCGGGTTGCGGAAGACAGGGTTGAGGGGAACACCGGACGAGCGGTTAGGGTCGATGGCGAAGGCGCGACGAATGCGTTCGGAGAGGCCGGTAGATTGAAGTGTATGTTTCTGCAACGAAATTAGCACGTTGGCTAGCGACACGTTGAATTGGGTAGCCGAGAATAGAAGCAGGCCGGAGCCATTGAGGGCCATGACATGGCCGTCGTCGTATAGAAGAGGGCGACCGTCGAGGGCGGGAAGTGTGTGGTTCTGCGGCGCAATTGATCGTTATTCTTACCTTGGAGATCTCCACAACACCACCAGCAGCTTTGGCAACTGCCTTCGAGGCCATTTTGACGACTTGTGGGGGAGAGATTGGGGTCGTGAACTTCGTGGTCAAATTCAAGAAGATGGACGGTTCGAGTTGCTCGTCAGCCATCGCCAGCGTCGGGCGGGTCATGTCAATTGGAGAACTCCGATTGGCTGGCGGTCATGGCCTTACATAAGCGACCTGAGGGCATCAAGAGGATGAAAGCATCCATCACCACATTTCAAGCTCACGTGGATGCTCACTACGTTCACTTACGTCGACTCTCGATGTTGTGCCGATGCGCATTATCTGCCTGCTATACACGCTCATGAGGTGGTTCCAGTTCAGGGGATGCGTCAATAGTCCTGGCCTCCGATCGTCACAGGCTCATGAATCCCAGTGAAAAGAGCTGATGGCGCGATCCCGATGCGATGAGCGCAGATACTCGGGGTCCGAAATTTCGAGTCTCTTTAGTCAATTTTCATGCGAGTGTTCTATTGACGGAGTCTCCTATCACCAGTCATTCATCGAACTTGCACCCCCACAGCTCCTCACTCCTTCGCCCCCTCCGCCTCACCCTTTGACAGTTCCTCGACAAGTTTCTTAACTACTTCAACGGTGGCGGCAGGGCCGCCGGGCTCAGCAGCTAGGATCTTGCCCTCCTTGTTGACGACAAAAACGCCGCGCTGGGTTCCTGAAGGAGCCTTCTTTAGGCCAATTGCACCGATCAGCGTCCTCTGCGGATCACACAGGAGAGGGTAAGGCAGCTCCTTCTTCTCCTTGAAGGTAGTGTTTGCCTTTGTCGAATCGGCCGAAAGGCCGTAAATGGCGAGGCCAGTAGCCGTCAGCGGCTCGTACGAGTCGCGGAACAGACACACCTGGGTTGTGCCTATTGGCGCGCAAGGGCCGATATGTCAGCGAGCATACTCTACGGTGGTTCGTGCGGAGGAGGAGGTCCTTACATCCGGGCGTCGACGCCTTGGGGTAAGTGAAAAGGACGACGCCAGCCTTGCTCTCGTCCACGAGAGCCTTGAGTGTCGTCTTCTTGCCGTCGTTGGTCTCGATCTCGCCACCGAACCCGTCGAGTGTGATGACCTCGCCTTCGGCCACCTTGGCGGGCTTGGCGGCAACGGCAGCAGCAGCAACGGGTTCCTCCTTGGGCTTCTCTTCGGGAGCATCGGTTTCCTCGGCCTTGGGCGCCGGCTTTACGGCCTTCTTGGCTGCTGGCGCCTTCTTCTTTGCAGCGGCGGGGGCGGGGGCGGGCTCAGGCGCCTTGCGCTTGCGAAGCTCGACAGGCATGATGTCTGTGGGTGGAGAGCGGGTGTGGATGCTGAGGTCTAGCAACAAGTGAGTTGGATGTTGTGATACTGGACCACGAGTGTGCAAATTCTTCACGTTTCTTGCTGAATAACTGAGCGTCAAGTACGAGGTCACCGTGAGTGTTAGGATGGACAATGCAAATGGACAGCAAAGTTTGGGAGTGAGGTCTGGCCAGGAGAATGTCGAGCTCAACAGTAGACGTCGTCCTGGCGACAGACCAATCAGTGGTAGCGCACCCCCCTCCCAGGGAGCTCTCCAGACCCTTTTGAGACCACAGTAGCATGCGCATTGCGGGCTGCGATCACGTACTCCTTAACCCTGGACAAGCTTTCGTGTTGGTGGCCTGTGCTCGCCCTCCCCAGAGATGCTCAACTGTCAGCAAAGGTACCTAGGTATATAGGTAATTTCGGTGATGTGTTGCTGCACTATGCATATATCGAGTCTTGTTTCCACAATTTGGCGAGTCTGGGTCGCCGTACACATGTAAACCCCCGCCGTACCTCCTCCATACTCGGCACGCATTATCGTCGATAGAATCAGTCCACTTCGTAGTTGACATTATTCTGCTGTCACAATGAGAACGAAATGGCCCCGAGAGGCAATTTAAACCCGAGAGTATGTCCGAATCATTTGAATATTGATTATGATCAGAAATTAACAACTCGCAAAGACGGTGGTCGCACCTCTGGCAGCCTTCACGATGGCCTGTCTCCTCTTCACGTACACGCGGTCGTCCATCCGTACCGCTAGGGAGCAAGCTGTGAGTCTGGTCGGCACATGGGCTCGAGAATCAAGGCTCATTCAACTAACCCATGTAGCATGCGACTCGGAGAAAAGGAAGTCAGGTGCCTTCACAAGAACCTCGCAGCTGATATGCTGGGCGTCGCATAGGGTGGACAAGCTCTTACCAATCCTACACCGCAGCAGCCTACATGTTAACAAAATCACCATCAAGTAGAGGTCACAGTGCCTCCTCGGCTGTTGGTGTCCATTTCCGAGGTGCGCCGACTGAGAGAAGTGGTCTGCGAGGTCATCCGAGTGTGCATTGTGAAGGGGCACATGTAACCAGAATTATTATGAATTGGATCGGATTTGTCTATACCTACAACCAAAGATAGGGGTATATGTGGAAACCTCCATTCCGTGTTCCGATCTTCTCCCCACAATGAAGCCCTAAATACACAGCGAGAGCGATGATACTCCATGTGAACTCGGAACGCCCGGTCAAGAATGCACCTCCCTCCACACCACTCGCTCGTGGTTCACCCCGCACCATACACTGCCCAGCCATCATTACAGGCTTGCATTAAGCGGCACATCCTCGTGGCCCAGCTTCCTCCGCCCTTCCGCCTTGATGTGATTAAACTGTTCCATAAAGAACTCATATGTCAACATCGTGACCGTTGCTGCCGGTACCGCGCGCATCATGTTCGTCCCCATGCCAGCATAAAAAGCTCTCCAGCCTTCTTCGGCGAGGATTGTGCGGAAGGTCATAACGACACCGCGGTACTTTGGCGCAGGGGGTTGCACTTGTTTCTGATGCGCGGCCACCTCCTCCGGCGTCGCCGAGCTGGAGATTTTGATGCCGAGGCCTTGAAGATATTCTGCTCCCGCGACTGGTCGCCGCTGTGTCTGCAGTCGCGTTCGGACAACTTCGTGAGGATAGGTGGCGCTGCTTGCCAGGATCTTGGAGAGAATCGAAGCCGAGAGGACACCGATCCAGTGCGACGAGGGACTCTCTCCATTCAGGGGGGCACCCATTCCTTGTCCCGTGAACTGAGTTTTCAGGAACTCATAAGCGGGAAACTGGACTGCAACGTGGGTGAGACCAAGCAAGGCGGGCGTGAGGCCCGAGTAGAAGGATAGAATGCCTTCTGATGTATACATCTTGCGAGCGGCGTCGAGTGTGGAGTTGTAATGCCACGGCGTAGAGAGCGTCGGCCTGGACGTCGGCGTGTTCCCCGACTTCGGAAACTGCGTATAGTGCTGGCCTGTACGGTGCGCAACACTTTGCGACATCAGCCGCGTCTTGATGACCCATATTGGGTTCGTCACAATCGTGCTGCTAGCCCCAGCTATGATAGAAGACCAAAAACTGATTACGAACGGGTTTTCTACAACATAAATGCGTCAGCGAAGCCCCGTCTCTTGGCATATTGATAGTCTGGGAGCAGGCCGATCCAAGGGGTAACCTACCATGACGATGCCTTAGCCAGTCTTTGCTGTTGTTGTAGACGGTAAACCAGACTGCCCATGTCGGCAGGTACCCAAGCACGATAGGACCTAGCCCCCTATACATGCCCCTGATGCCTTCGTCGCGCCAAATGACTCGGGCGGTTCCGGTAAGCCCGTCATAGAGCTTGGGGTGTCCTACATGTCTGCCCTTAGAGACTGGATTGAAACCACCTTGCGCCTGGAGCTTAGTCTTGATGACGTCGAGCGGGCATGTGACGACGCCCGAGGTAAAACCACCAATGGCACCAGCCAGAGCGTTGAATTGAGAAGGAGAAGCGTTGACAGCCCATTTTTCGAGCGGAGAAAGGGCCACGCCCGAGGAGGTCATACCGGCGGATGGCTCCTCCGAGCCGCCGTCCTCGTCTCGCTGTGACGTGGGTACCGGAATAGACCGGACGCTACTGTAATGAGGGTAGGTAGAGGTGGGATATGGACCATATTCGTCGTCTTCCGAAGGCTGAGATGTTCCTCGTGGAGGGTTTTGGTTGTTCTCGGGAGACATTACAGCACTGCTCGTTTTTGGCTTTGCTTCGGCAGCTTTTGTGGTTCGATGATGGAAGGGCGAGCGAGCCAAGGGAATCACGATCCTCTTTCGAACGGCGGCTAGTTTATGGTACCGACTCGAAGTGTTCTTATCTGCGTCGGCGTCTTTGGCGATTTGTACTCGTTCTTAGTGTCGCGGTATGCGGGGAATGGCTCCCACGCTGCCGTGACACTACCCGACCTTCAGGTTTCGCAGGCCATCTACCACTTTGCAAAAAAAAAAAAAATCGGGATTCTAGTTGGGAGCAGCGATTTGATGTTGCCCGCCTGCACGGTGAGAGTTGGCAGTGCACCAAGGTGGCAGAGGGGCAGAGGGTCGTCGTATCGGTGGTGGAGGTTGATGGTGGGAGGAGGAAGTGGGTGAGAATTGAATGCCGGTGCAGGCACTCGGTACAGCACAGGTCGTCTGTGGTGGATTGGACTGGACGGGACAGAACAGTGGAGGCTAGACCACTGACCGGCACAGGCAGGCACTGAGCGATAGTGGAGTTGATGGGCCGTTCGCGCCGGCTGAGGACGATAATGCGGCGACCCGAATGAGTGGGACCACGAGCACCAGAGGCAGAAAATGCGATGAAGCGAGGTTTGGCTGACAGAGGCCGTCGTTTTGTGCTCCTTTGCCCTCAACAGTTGAATTGTCGGTGAGATAGAAGCGCGGGGGCTCCCAGAGATGCCTCGGGATTTGTGAGTTTGGAAATGATTACGGCAAGCCTAGGCCGTGTCACAGGCTCGATGCTTTGCTCCCTCCGCTCCGGTTCTTTGGCGGGCGACATGCATGAGGGTGTGATGTACAGTGGTACGAATGACGCAATTGGCCAACGCCGATGGCCTACCGTGCCTATTCAGCAGACGACGAGGGCGGCTCGTGCCAGTCTCAACACGCCTCATCAGCTTAATCCCGGCTGTTCACGGAATAGATGGCACGCGCCCCCTTGCTGGCCGGAGACATTTTCTACATAACCGTTAGTCAGATAACCTTGAAAGATAGATACCCCCCCCAATGGCCCCGCACCGCAATATCCCGATACCCTCTGTACTTTTCTTGCGCCACATCAGCCATTTGAGCCTGCTCACGTGATCTGATTCTCTCTTCCGGGTAGCTCCGTCAACTTTTGCTCGCAATTGGACCTGATCTGATTCGACGTGAGGTCCAGCAGAAACGAATTCCCGCGGCCATCCTCAGGTTTGACTTCAATCATCCGCAACCACCCTCTCCGCCCCCACATCACCACCACCGATCACAATGGCCGATCTGTTCGTCAAGCGCGTGGCCGAGGGCATCCAGAGGTCGCCTTCCCTCCTCAGCTTCCTGCGCCCCCTCGCCAACTGGTACTCCAACACGTCTGGCTACCGCCAGGTGGGCCTGAGGTAAGGCCGTCATCCATTTCCTCCCGACCGAGACTTTTCGACCCCAGTCGACTCAAGCCGCCGATCCGACACTTCAATCGAACGTATTGTATAGAGGAAGATCAATTGAGCCAAGGAGGACGGATGGACATTCGACAGAGCAGACGGCTGACTGAAGTGCTCGCATAGGTACGATGATCTTTTCGAGGAGGAGCGCGAGGAGGTCGGCAAGGCTCTGAAGCGCCTGTCGCCCAAGGAGAGCTACGACCGCATCTACCGCATCCGCCGCGCTGTTCAGTGCAGCTACCAGCACAAGCTCCTGCCCAAGTCCGAATGGACCAAGCCCGAGGAGGTGAGCGCCCTTCCCTTACCCCCAAAGGTGGCGATGTCGTTGCGGACCTTGAATACGGCTTGGCAAGCCCAATTCGTTGCGCCGAACACTGGGTGAAATGCAAGGCGACCGCTGGCTGACAACCCATGGTCAGGATGTCCCTTACCTCCGTCCCCTGATCGAGCAGGTGCAGGTTGAGATGGCTGAGCAGAAGGCTCTGGACTCGCTCGAGGTCGTCAAGAAGCACTAAACAACCCGCAATTTGGTCTGCCTTTGTAAAGTAGGAGGAAACAAGAACGAGAGAGGAGAAAGCGCTTACGACAGCGTCGTTGGTTTCGCGATGCAGCATGATAGAGAGAGTGAGCCTGGCTGGAGGGTTGTGTAAGCTACCTATGTATAGACTCTGGGATTGTCTCAATCGGAACTCCCTCTCTCCCCTATGCCGCAGCTGCCGCGTCGGTGCTGGATACCCTGCGCCTTGCTACGCTTCTTTGATCATCCACGACTACCCGCACTTGATTCACGAGGAGAGAAACCAGAGCAACCACCTTGAGGAAATGGCGGAGCGCTCTGGCATAACCAGTGTGTTTGTGGCCGTGCATGTCGTCAGTGAGAGATGGATCAAGCGCTGTCTTCGTCAAGTCATTACTTTACACAACAGATTCCTTCATATATACAAATGTTGACAAGGGTAAAGCCTTCGTATCTTGTCGTGTCAATGGTATTGAACCGCCTCGCATAGATCGCCAACGCCCCCCTACGCATTGCCCGGCTTTTCATCCGTATCAATGTGCCACACAACGTAATTAGGCAAGCCAACAACTCTGTAACCGGCTCTCTTTGCCATCTTGGCAAATCCTTCCGTTTCGGCTTGGTTCTCGAAAGCGTAACAAGGGAAATTGATGCCTATAGAGATTAGCTTTTCGCTTGTGTAACGGCAAAGAAGGGGGGACCAAAACGCACCTGACCGGTGGACGTCAGCCTTGACGATAATGTTGACGCCGCCGATGCCGTCAAGATCGATCTCCTCGTCCTTGTTCTTAGTGCGATCGCCCATCCTGGCCATGTACGTACGGCCAGTCTTATATTGACTGTAACCTATTTCGCGCAAGTCAGATGGCGGATCAGCCGCAGGAGAAGTCACCGAGTAAGTACCTTCCGCAAGAACGACGTCTTTGCTAAGCTTGTTCGCCAGCATGCGGCCCTTGTTGGATTCTATCCAAGAGTTATAGTCGAAGCGACCCTCGATGTCTACGCCGTCCTCAATGCGATGGAACCAAACATCTGCAAGCCTGGTCAGACCGACACTCACCAGCAAAGACGTGCATGATAGATGGAACCTACTTGGCACTATGATATCGACGTCATGGGCGATGAAGTCCTCGATGATAGCTGCGGGGTTCTCTACAATGTCGACGTCCCTCCAGTACACCCAGGAGTGATCTGGCTTCATCGCCACGGATAGGAGATAGTTCCTCGCCCGCCCCAGCGCCTTACGCCGAGGCCCCTGGGCTTCAAAAGAATGTCTCTCCTCCACGTTCTGGCTGAGGTGGAATTTGAAGTCCTTCTCCACGACAGTGATGCTGCGAAAGGGAACAGAGTCGGTCCGTTTTTGCAGCCTGTCGGCTTCGGCAGCCAACACTGCAAGAGTATCGTCGCTGGAATCGCCAACCAGGAAGGCAAGGTCGATCAGTTGATGGGGGTACGTCAGCCGGCTGATAAGCTCGAAGTACTTGGACAGATAGGGGGCGGCGTCCTTGAGAGGCGTCAGGATCAAGACCTTTTCCTGATTCGCGACAGCCTTGCGCGTGGAACTGACGGGGTTCATGTCGACATTCTTAATCGTCGGGGAGTCGACTTGAATGGGTTTATGAGGGTTGAACAGAACAGGTGTCTGCAGGTGTCGACCCCAGGCCGCCCGCTCGTTGCTCGTCATGTCCATGGGCGCCTTTGGCGGACCCCAGCAGTAGAACCTATGATCGAGTACTCGTCAGTCAACGCCATACACGACGGCTTAGGCGGGCTTCGGAGCAGGAAACAAACCTGTCATGGGGGCGTCCGGAGACGCCGCGCCAAAGCAGCAAAACGAAACCAGCCAGGACGATGTATGCAAGAGCCCGATGCCTATTCAGGTACAACAGTATTGTTCTTGAAGTAGGTAATTTCCCGCGCGCTGACTTCCAGCCATGGCTGCTGTTGTTGTTATTGTTGGGGAGGATCATGGCGAACGATGATGCAGTGCTCGGGCTGCTGTTCCTCACGGTGTCGCTTGATGGTTGTGTCGAGGTTCTGAGAGGTTGGCACCGGCGGGAAGTGGGCACGAATATGAAGGCGATGGCGCAGTGATACAACACAATCGCGAAAAAGCTACTATGAGGCGAGCTATCAAAGCTGTAGAGGTTGTCCGCTCAAGTCATCGGGACAGGCGGGGTCGAGTTGCTTCGAGGCGCTCGCAGATCTTCGGTACTCGGGAACAGAGATTCAGGGGAAACGCTCAATCGGGCAGTCGAATCAGCTTTGCAAGACCTCAAAGCTAGGCAAATCGTGGATCGAATCTGGTCTCGATTCGTCGTACTGGCGCTAGAATGCACAGCTCACCGACCTCATGAAAGTTGTGTTTGGGATGCCGATCGAAAATAATTCCCATCGCTGACGCGACTGTCTATCGCGATTCGTAGATGCGCTGGAGTCTCGAGCGGGCTAGCTCCACTACAAGGGGACACAGGGGTCCGCTAAAGTAGCACTCATTCTAGCGCCTTGAGGAACCTCCCATCGACATTGAATCCTTGCGTCACGGAAGCAAGTGTAAAAAACAAATGATGCATGAGATGAGTCCGCCGAGTGTGCACTATTCTCGATACCCAAAGCAAAGGGGATATTGATCAATTCCTCGATCGGTTGTACAAATTCTTGTCCGGAAGTCCCGACGGCCTAGATGTAAATTACTGTAATCATGGGGAGGTACATGACCCATAGGTACCATACCGTGACTATGTAGGTCGTACAGTACATGGGTAATAACCTCGATTCCGTACCTGCCTCCGGCCGGTGGGGACTGGTTGCTGGTGCTTGCCACATGGTTTATGATGACAAAGGAAGGGCGCAGCGACGTCACAGCTGTCACGATTGTAAGTCGTGAATCTGAAGATCGAGAAACAACGCTGAGGGAAACACTAACAACAACGTCACGACGGTCAATTCGTCTCGAACAAGTTGCGTTTTATTCGCAGACCAAGATACCCCTGACTGTGAGATAGCGTTTGCTGCGCTCTTGCATTGTTGCCCATCCAAGGGACCATATCTACATTCAACTCGTTCCCAGCACGCACATCACCTCTTTCGCTGGAAATCAGATCAAACAGACTGAGGTTGCCCAGCCGTTGAGATCTGGGGACGCTTCGGAGCCGCGAAGTTCATCCTGCGGGCCGATATCAATCCACGCCGCGTGCGTCGGGTCGCACAGCTTGCCCCTAGCACTCTGGCAAACATGTCGACTCGCCGTTCGGCTCGCCTCAGCGCCCAAACGGCCACTGAGTCGGAGGTCCTCAAACCAGTCGCGGCGCCAAACGACCGCAAGCGAAAGACCGCAAAAGACACCAAACTCGACGAGGTACCGTCGCCGGCGCCAGCTGTGCCGGCGACGCCTCTGAGGAAGCGCACGAAACGAGCCGCCGTGGCGCTCCCAGTCACGCCTACGCCCAGTGCCGTCTCCCTCATTGCGGAACGTATTAACGGCACGGCCGAGAAGCCACGCACCGCAGCTGTATCGCGCTTTGCCGACCCAAACCGAACGAATGCTCCGCTGCTGTCGCCCGAATCTTCGCGGCTGGTTGCACCAGCCTTGGCGGTCCAGCCGAGCTCTGCCTCGCCGTCCAAAGCCGCTCGTCTTGCCCCGACATCCTCTCTCGTCTCCGAAGTGAATTCCCAGCCAACTACCACGGAGAATATCCTTGCTGAGGCCTGCGCCCATCTAATCCGTGTTGACCCGCGCATGAAGGCTCTCATAGACAAGCACCCTTGCAAGGTCTTCTCTCCAGAGGGACTGGCTGAGAAGATCGACCCCTTCGAAAGCCTCTGCAGCGGTATCATATCTCAGCAGGTCTCAGGCGCAGCTGCAAAATCCATAAAGGCCAAGTTTGTAGCTCTCTTTACCGCATCAGATCTGGTGGACGGCAGGTTTCCTCACCCTTCTCAGGTGGCGGCCCAGAGTATTGAGCACCTGCGTACGGCGGGCTTGTCACAACGCAAAGCTGAATACGTGAAGGGCATTGCGGAAAAGTTTGCGAGCGGCGAGCTCAGCGCAGAAATGCTGGCAGGAGCTCCGTATGCTGAGGTGTTGGAAAAGCTTATTGCTATCCGCGGCTTAGGGCAGTGGTCGGTCGAGATGTTCGCATGCTTTGCGCTCAAGAGGATGGATGTCTTTTCATTGGGAGACTTAGGGGTACAGAGGGGCATGGCGGCATTCGAAGGCCGCGACGTTGCAAAGCTCAAGGCCAAGGGCGGCGGTAAATGGAAGTACATGTCGGAGAAGGACATGATTGACATGTCGGACAAATTTGCGCCCTATCGCAGCGTCTTCATGTGGTACATGTGGCGAGTCGAGGAGACTGACATAAGCACGCTAGAGTAATACCATTCACTGCTTTGTATGTAGCTACTCGTTCGTCTGGCCTAGTGCTCTAAAGCTGTAGTGTGATACGGATGGTCTCGACGTCAGCCTGGGTTCTTGAGGTGAGAGAGAGTAAGGTCCGGCAGGATTGCGTGGTCCGTAACCCATGACCTTCATCATGAGACCAGCTCCAGCATAAGTACGATACACATCAAGGTGTTGATAATGGTAGTATGACTAAACGCCGTATGAAACGTCGGTACACTCAGATGGAGAACTACATACAGCCTCGTGCGGCCTCAGACGGACAATCATGACGTCTTGAAACCCCGACTTTGACGGCGCCGACAGTCGATCAGCTCAGGATGCTTCTTCTGAAATCCCTTCCCCCCTGCACAGTGATTTTTCCGAGGGGATGAGTTGTCGTTGGGTTGACCCGGATTGGGCTGCTGTTCAGTACATGGTCAAACGGTCCTCCCGCATAACAAACATAGGCTTTGGTCATGGGACGGCCCGGTATCGTGTGGTGGAGCAAGCAAGGAATGAGGTGCGACAGGCGCACAAGACTGCCATCCAACATGTACGTATCGCTTTGGCCCCCTCCCAAGGTTTGTCAGTGATGGGACATTGTCGACTCGATTACTGGCAGGGGACAAAACTGGTGATGCAGGACAACTGGCTGGCTGGAGGCTTCACAACGGAGCCTCGGTATCAGGAGGAAGCAGTGTTATCACCAATAGTTGTACAGTAGCCGTGCCCATGCACCGGACTTGCCCCAGTGGTCTTGGAAGGTGTACATGGCACTTGTAGGTCGGCCGAAACAGTCTAGAACAGGCTCCTGATTTGATCAAGTCAGCCTACACATTGCAGCTGGCAATCCTTGGATGGAGCAGGGAACAGGTGGGTAAAATTGGGAGATGCATTTTCGGCCACACCCCGGGGTGGGCCATCTCTCCTGGCTGGACATGGTACAGTACGCATCGCGGCTCTACGGATGTTTTCCTCCCAGTGTTTGGCAAGTGTGCAGCTTGGCGTGGAGACACCAAGATTTAGTTTCGCATGTGTGCGGTCCATCCCTAGAAAATACTGCCGTGGCAAGCTTTCGCGACCTGGGGAGGCCCAAAAAGGCCCAATCAAATTGAGCCAACGGGATGCCGAGGGCATTCGCTCGTATCGAGAGGCCTGGTTTGGCAATGCACGAGCTACAACATAGTAGGAGCTAGAGAGAGCGGAAGGACCGAAAGTCGGCTCGATGCTGCGATGCTTTCGATGGACCCATTATGCCGTTGCCTGGTCGCCAGCCGTGCCAACAGGCTATCACCTCTGATGTCCTCGGTCGTACTGCGTCATCACTGGAGGAAGACTCGGATCGACAGAGCACCCGAAGGCCTCCTGGATCGCCTGGACTCGCAATACGATGAAACACGCCCTCACTGGCTAGCAAGATATGGCGACGGGAAGATGAGAACGCGTGGGTCGACGGTGTACTGTGTGATGCCTCAGTGGGAGGAGGGAGGGAGGGGTGGGTGCGCGCGGATGTGTGTTGTGGACGCGTTCCAGCTCAGAGCTCGTCGATTTCAATGGGGCACGATGAGTGGGCTGCTGAATCGAGCGGACTGACTTTGGATACAGCCACACCATGCAGTGTTGACAGGCATTGTCCGCAGGCCGCTGGTGTTGACGTTGATCATCTGGAAAGCAAGATGGGCAAATCTCGCCAATGCGCGATTGCAGAAATTGGACCACGGTCCACGGTCCACGGTCCATGGCCCTTGCCCACCGACCGGACCGGACGCCTGACAGGATCTCCGATGCTGTCGATTTCCGCCGCTGCATGCTCGCTGTCAGCAACAGTCTCTCTCATTCAACTGATGGAGGGGAGGGGGATCAAACATCTGTTGGAACACGAACACGGCAGAAGTTGACTCGTCCGAGGAATGGGGCGAAGGGATCCAATGTGTAAGATGCCAGGACACCACTTATTACTCACATTCTCGTGCCCTGTGCTTTGTGCTTTGTGGTCGGTGCCGTATTGTGTATCCAATACGAGGGAGGCAAGGCTCGCGGAACGTGGAAACCGATTGTCTGGCATCTGGGTACGGGTGCGGCAACGGTTGTGGCAGGGGAAAAAGTAGATGCTCATGCACTGAAGGGACAAGCTTGACGATTTATTGCGTTCCATCTCCTGCTCGTACCGCACCAGAGGCGGAGGGGCCTGCGTGTGGTGCCTGGCCTTGCCTTATGTTGCATCTGTAATAATAAAGGGAGGCAAGCACCGAACCATGAACTTCCCCCGTCCCCTTCGCCATCATGACCAACGTAGGAGGGCGCGAAGGACCCGAAATGATCAATGAGCAGGTGTGCCCACCAGGCAATGTCGAACAGGACTGTGACTGCAACAAACCAGGGCGACACTATGATGACCCCCTGCACATGCTTCCTCCAACAACCCCCCCCTTACCCACCTGGGACACGCACCCCTGATCGTCTTGATTATGAGCAGCAAATCAACATTCCTGTCGGTGCTCCACCCCCCCCCCCTGCTTCCCCTGCCCGACCTGGTTGAAGGCGCGAGAGCAGCAGCGAGGCATCGTGCACGGCAACAAGCCACATCCACGCCAGCAGTTCGCCCCTAGCTCTGGGGATTTGGCTTTTCTCTTCTCCGTCCGCACATCGACTTGCTACTGTTTCTCCCACTCGCTCCTCCTCCCTTTGCGACCAGCTTCACTCTTCACCAGGCCAATTTTTTCGTTGCGCTTGCTTTGGTTTTCGTACACTCGTTAATAACAGGATCAGATCTAGCCTTAGCTCTCTTCCTGCTCTGCCCCCCTTTTTATCTGTCCTTCGAACGAAGACGACGTTCTATCTATATCAAAAGGTACGTAAGGAGTGAAAGAAATGCACCATGACCCATCAAAGATGGCTCGTCGTCACCTTCACGACGCCCATTGAGAAATTCCTGACCGTCGCCGCCGGTCTGAACGACCCTGCCCACCCCACGCCATGTTCGTTGGCACGTACATACCGTTGCCCCTGGATTCCGAACGCCCCGTCCATGGCCTCTCCCTCGTCTGGTCCCCACGACCCAATTCCCTCAACACCCGCCCTTGGACCGCGAGGGTCGGAGCCTCCTGCTTGTCTGACAGACAGGCTCCTACCCCCAGCCGCGTCGGCACCAAATACGAGCAGAAAAAGCACACAGGAAGGGGCGACAAATACGACCCGCACGACCAGCTGTGCTCCGCCTACTACGTGTCTCGGGGGTTCACCCATTTCATCTACCCATCTTCACATCTCATCACCTGCCATCAAGCACCAATCCAAACAGGAAACAACCCCAGCGTGGTTTTGGAACAGAGATCGATAGCCTTTACCACCCGTCTTGGTTTCTTGGCCCGCTGTCCAGTCCACTGCCTGGTTCTCTCCTCCACCAGCATTGTCAATCTCTTATTATTCTTGACATCATCCAGCTTCCAAGCTGTTATTACCCGTTGCGAACTTCGCACTGACTCTATTCAACATTCAGATTACTCGCCAAAAACCGGTAGCAATGTACACCACCATGAAGCTCGTCCCTGCCATCCTGGCCGTCGGTGCCTCGGTCGCCTCGGGTAAGTCTGACCACAACTCCAGCCGTCTCGCGTGGCCTTGGCTTCTGGCACTAACTAGCTGCTTCAGCCCAGTCCAGCATCTGCTCGACTGCGACCTACACGATCACCAGTGCCGCCGAGGCCACGGCCATTCCCTGCAGGACCATGGAGTCCATTGAGATCTCCTCCGACCTCACCGGTGCCGTGACCATTGACGGTCCCACCCGCCTCAAGGGCAACCTCGTTGTCAACAACGCCACCCAGCTCGTCAGCCTGGCCAGTTCTTCGCTCACCACGATTGACGGCCGCTTCGAGCTGGTTGGACTCGAGCTGCTGAACGACGTCCGATTCACTGCCCTGACGGCTGTTGAAACCATTGAGTGGGTTACGCTCCCTGCTCTTGGCACTGTCGTCTTCGGTACCGCCGGTGTCACCAGTGCCAGCAGTGTCCGTATTTCCAACACTGATCTCCGCTCGCTCGACGGACTCAACCTCGCTTCCGTCGACGAGATGTACATCAACAACAACGACCGTCTGCTGTCTTACAGCACTCAGCTCGCCAACGTCTCCAAGAAGCTCGAGATTGACTCCAACGGCCCCGCCCTCAATGTCACTCTTGCCAACCTTATCTGGGCTCAGGAGCTCATTATCAACAACGCCGCCAGCGTCCTGGTTCCTTCCCTCGAGGTCATCAACGGCTCCATGCGTTTTGACCAAAACAGCTTCACCACTTTCACTGCCCCCAACCTGACCGAGTTTAAGGAGGGTGATATTTCTTTCATCAACAACCCTGAGCTTACCAACATCTCCTTCCCTCTGCTCGAGACCCTCGGTGGATCCCTCACCATTGTCAACAACTCCCGCCTCACCGGTATTGACGGCTTCCCTGAGCTTAAGGAGATTGGTGGCGCTGTCCTTCTTGGCGGCGACTTCGAGTCGTAAGTTTGCAGCCGCAGCCACGAATTGATTTGTATGCTAACGATCATCGTAGCGTCGAGCTTCCCTCTCTTGATGACGCCCGTGGTGCTTTCGACGTTCGCAGCACTGAGAACATTGACGAGTCTTGCAAGTTCTTCGACGACATGGAGGGCCGCCAGATCCGCGGCGAGTACAACTGCAGGGGCGGCGACGAGAATGCCAACGAGGCCAACTCTACCAGCGGCGGCTCCAGCGGCAACGGTGGCTCCAGCAACAACAACAACAATGGCAGCGGCAGCGCCATGCTTGGTACCAACATGGCCGCCCTCGTCACCGTGGCCGTCATTGGCGGTCTCGCTCAGCTCATGCTGTAAAGACAACCATACTGAAAATATGGGCTCGGATGTTGTGGCGTTCTCCGTACATGCTTTCTTTCTTTCTGGTTTCTTTGCAATGACGCGATTCTCGAACCGGCACCCCTAGGTACGAGGAACCGATAGACTTAATACTGGATGATGGTTAGAGACGAAGACGCCCAACATCGCCGGCATCGGCCTGTGCTGTGAGGTTTCTGCTTGATGTAACCCTGCCACCTGACTACCCGGCATATGTTGCTTGCGACATGTAACAAATCGCCCTTTTATACAACACAAAAAGTGACTATCAAATATACGACGGGTATCATGCACGCTGTCTTCACCATTACTCCCGCTGATGCTCAGTCAACCTTGTTTCGTTTGATATGGAACAGGAATCATCCACATGACGCTTGTCTTCTTCATCTCCATTTGTAATTTTGGGCGCCGCCTTACTGGACCATGGCCCCTTCGCTCAGTGCCAACCGGGGACAAATTTCGAAGAGGGATGTTAAGTACAGGATATCCCCACGAAGCGCGAGAGCCGTTATATGTAAACTCCGAGTTCAAATTGCTCTGCGTCGTAGAACGTGGCCGCCACTGTGTTTCCATTGAATACTCGACCATTGAGCTCGCTGACCGCCTGCAGGATTGTCAGATATGTTCGGTGAGCGCACTAGACAGAAGAAATCCGGCGTGAACCTACACGTAGACCAGAGACTTGGTCGGTAAACTTGATGAAGACCTGTCGATTTTCGACATCGAAATACAGACGCTCCACACGGCCATACTGGTGAATAATCAGCACAATTACATCTCGGCTCTGATTCCTAGATGACAGCAATGGAGGCGCCAGATGAGGAGGGGGTGGGGGGGGGGGTGGGAGATGCAGGGGCAGGCGTACCTTGTCGCCACACTCCTCGCCGATTTCTTGCCCGAGACCGCTGGAAATCTCACCCTGCAGGTCTTGCATACCCTCAAGCATGTTCCGCAGGACTATGACGTTGCTCATGGGCCCGTAGCCGGAAGAAGAGGCGGCGCCGTCGTCGCGACGCTGGCCGCCGATGATTTTGGCCTTGTTGGCAGGGTCGCGCCAGCCGCCGCCCTCGGCGTCGCTCTTCTTCTTCCGCTTCTCAACCTGGACGCGGAGCGGGTTGATGATGCCCGACTCGTCGGCGCCGAGGCCGGAGCCCTTGGTCCAGCCGTACTTGGACATTAGGCGCTGGGCGAAGCCTGCCTGGCCTGGGCGGAGGGAGCGAGGGGCTTCGGAGTCGGAAGTGCGGTTTCCCGCATGGGAATCTGCGCCCAGGCCGAGAGATAGTGGTGGTGAGTCGGGAACGTCGTCTTCGGACGGCTTAGGAGGTGAGTAGCGGACGGGAGCGCGTGAGATGGTTGCCGTCTCCTTTGGTTCGGAGGATGGAGGCGGAGGAGGTGGTGATGTCGGTGGTGGAATAAAATCTAAAGGAGGCGGCACGGGTGCTGTGTGGAGAGTCTGTCTTCGTGCATAAACGTCGTCGGCGGTCGCATCGCCGGGAAGCTGAGCCAATGTCGGTGGAGAGGGCGGAGGTGGTGCGAAGGAGTAGTTTGACGGCGGCGCAAACTGGTCTGCGCGTCTGTCAGTGAGAGTGAAAGAGTTGGACGGCTACAATGTACGCACTCGCCGCTGGACGGCTGTCTCTGACGCTGTCTTGGTCGCTGTCATCGCTGAAGCTCCTCTTCCTACGATGTCTGTACAGCACAGCCTTCCAGTCCTGGACCTCTCGTATGCGCTCGTCACTGCGCAGGTATTCGTCGACGTTGGTGGGCCTGGTAGGGTCGTAGATCTCATCCCAGTCGGTTTCCAGCTGGTGCTCGAACTTCTTCTTCTTCTTCTTGCGCCCGCCACGCTGGCGCTTCTCCAAACTGTAGCGCATCTCGTCGTCTCCCGCAGCAGCCCAGTCGGCGAGACTGGTCTTCTGCTGGGATTGCGCCCCGCCCGGTGTGGTCACAGCTGTCGGTACATCTGAGGTCGCTGGCCCGGCAGGAAGCGACACCACTTGCGACACGGCCTTGGGGAAACTAGCTTTGGGCTTCACGGCTTTGGCCTGCGGGCGACGTATTGGTTGGAAGCGAAGAGCTGGGAGATGTGAGCACGTCGACGTTGACGAACGAGAGGGCGGGAGGTGAAGGACATGGATCTTTAGGTTTCTTCGCTGCTGCGTCGTCGCCGAGGTCTATCGCGCTGCCGTCTTGGTTGTACCGAACGGGCGCGCTGGATATCGTCGCCGAGGGGTCTGAAGCTGGGTCTAGGAGGTTCGCATAGAGAGACAATCCTCCCCTTGCGGGCGGTGGTGGAGGCGGCGCGGCCATTCTGCCGTAGGGGTTTTCGAGTTTGGGTCAAATATTCAGCCGCGTTGCACTCGCATGTTTTCGTTCTTGCGGCGTTGTATGGGTAACTTGGGACTAGGTATCCGGGGTAGGCAGGTACAGGATAGACAGAAGCGCGATGTGTGATAAGCTGCTTAATATACTATCTGGAGAACCTTATTCAATGGCACCGACTTACCCCGGCATGTCAGCCCACCGTAGTCACAGGGGGGGGGATCAGACGTCTTGACCCCTTGTTGCAGTTACATGAACCGATCCGGGAACAGCTAAGAGAACCCACCCGCTTGCCAGCTCCAGGCTCTATTAAGCACGCAATGACTAGGGACTACCACTATGACCCCGGCCTCCTTGAACTTGGGCGTTGGCTTCCCAGATAACTCTCACTTGTTCATCAGCCATCGCCACCAGGACATTCCTTTTAGAGATAGAGCGTGATCTATCCTACCACCATCCTGTGATCAATTCTTCTACACAGGTACATACCTCATCACTTTGTTCAACTTTGTCCGATTATCGGAGCCGGAATCGCCCGTCGAGTCCGCCTACACATTTGTCAAATCAAACATGGCGTTGACGCTTCAGACAGCCATCAAGGGCGCCGGCAGCTCTACTGCCATCATTATTCCTTCCAAGCCCAGCCCGTTGGCTGTTACATACAACGATCTCATCAAGGAGACTGCCTCGTTCCAGCAGAAGCTTGCTGCCATCGGCATCACCAAGGGGGCCCCAGTCTCCATTGCCACAGTCAACTCGTATGAGTTCATCATCTCATTTCTCGCCGCGTCCTGGCAACGTGGAATCGCCGCTCCGTTGAACCCGGCGTACAAACAGGATGAATTCGAGTTTTACATCGAGGATGTCAAGTCTGCCATTGTTCTGGTTCCCCGCGGTGCTTATCAGAGTAACGCCCCGGCTGTGCAGGCCGCCAAGAAATTCAACGCAGCCATTGCCGAGACGTACTGGGATGCTTCGAAGAAGGAGGTTGCTCTTGATGTGAAGGAGCTGGGACAGCTCCAGGGCAAGCGCAAGGAACAAATTTTGAAGCCCGAGCCAAGCGACGTCGCCCTCGTTCTGCACACCAGGTGATTCAATAGCCCATCTCCGTATCTTCACATGCCCAAAGCTAAAGCTGACCATGATACCAGCGGAACGACCTCCAGGCCCAAGGTAGTGCCCCTGACACACGCGAACCTGACGAGGACCATGAGTAAGTGATCTGGTCAACTTTGAATGAAACGCTGCTGATGAGAATGAAGGCAACATCCAGAAGACATATGAGCTCACTGATAAGGACCGCACCATGCTTGTCATGCCCCTCTTCCATGTTCACGGTCTGCTCTGCGGCCTCTTGGCCCCTTTCCTTTCCGGCGGATCCATGATCGTCCCGACTAAATTCTCTGCTGGCGAGTTCTGGCAGGACTTTGCTGCCCACAAGGCCAACTGGTACACAGCTGTTCCCACCATCCACCAGATCCTCCTGAAGAACCCGACGCCCAACCCCCTCCCTGCGATCCGCTTCATCCGGTCCTGCTCTTCACCTCTTTCCCCTACCGTATTCCACAACCTTGAGAAGACGTACAAGGCCCCTGTCCTCGAGGCGTACGCCATGACAGAGGCTGCCCACCAAATGACCTCCAACCCGCTGCCCCCGGCCAAGCGCAAGCCAGGCACCGTCGGCCTCGGTCAGGGCGTGGAGATCAAGATTCTCGACGACCAGGGCAACGAGCTCGCCCAGGGCACTGAGGGCGAGATCTCCATCAAGGGCGAGAACGTCACGCACGGCTACCTCAACAACGCCGACGCCAACGCCTCTTCCTTCACATCGTCTGGTTTCTTCCGCACAGGTGACCAGGGAAAGCTGGACGAGGACGGCTACGTCATCATCACTGGCCGCATCAAGGAGCTCATCAACAAGGGCGGCGAGAAGATTAGCCCTATCGAGCTCGACAATGTCCTCACGCGCCACCCCGCTGTTTCCGAGGCCGTGAGCTTCGCCATCCCCGACGACATGTACGGCCAGGACATTGGCGTCGCCGTCGTGCTCAAGTCGGGAGAGAAGCTCGAGCAGGATGAGCTGCGCAAGTGGATCGCAGACAAGCTGGCCAAGTTCAAGGTGCCGAAGAAGGTGAGACTTGTGTTCTGTGGGATGCACGGACGACACCATGTTAACGCTGTCTGTAGGTCTATTTCACCGAGACGATGCCCAAGACGGCAACTGGAAAGATTCAGCGCCGTATTGTCGCTGAGATTATGCAGAGGCAGGACATTCCCAAGGCCAAGCTGTAAAAAGGTAAAACCGGCTTCCGGTTGAAGATACTATAGAGGTAGACTAGATGTCCCCAGAACATGTTGTCCTGTATATTCTGCCCTATACAACGCCAAGTGTGGAAATCAGTCTGTGTGGTAGAGGAGAATTGAATAGATATTGATTGCTGTGCTGGGCCCAGGCCACCACACTGGGGCTCCTTCTTGGGCGTTATACCAGGAAAAGTGACCTGCCTCCTTATATATTGGCTTACTGGCTTTCCAAACCTACGTGCAAGCGAACATCTTTTGGCCTTCCTGTCTTAGATCCTCATGACGACCTTCAAGATGTAATGGTACGCTTGCCAGATGACAGTCACGATCAAACATCTCTGTATCAAAGGCGAGCCATCCCCTTGGGGAGTCACCCTTCAAAATTGATCCTTAGGAGCATGTCATTATTGATGGGGCATGGCCGTTCTGCGGGAAACCTGGGGGAGCAGGAGGACGAGGATTGATATTTACAAGTACGGAGTTCATCTTCACAGTCCGTGGTCATTGACATTGAGCAAGCACAGCGAAGCATGGAGTACAAGGACATATTCAAACTTCGATCAAATGGCGCCTCACATGAGGAACTCCTCCTTCAGCCAGTGCTTCAAAACAACCCTCCCCTCACTGAATGATTCCTTCTCCCAGCGAACAATGATGGCAGCATGGCTGTGCCTGTCACGGTGGATCCAGACCGGGTATTTATGCCAGTTAAGACTGTCGAGAGACTCGATCATACTGAACTGATAGGGGGCCAGCGCAAGGGTACGCTGCGAAGGGATGGACATGCGGCGCTCCCGGGCAAGCACCTTTGAGTCTTCCAGATTCATGTCGAGCGTCTCGTCGTCTTCTTCCGTTTCCGATCCGAGGTAGTCTTGGTGCTGCGCGTTGTTGAGCGCTTCGTATGCGTGTTCCACCTCGGTGCGGATCTCGTTGATCCAAAGGGGGAAGCTCCGATAGTCGGTGACCTTGACACCCGCCCGTCCCTCCTCATGGAGGCGGATCCGCTTCGATGAGCGCGCGGTTTGGATGCATGAATTGATGAGGAACCCAATGATACCGATCGGAACGAATATGGTGACAGCCAGCATGAAGGGAACGCTGCGAAGCCAGGAGACGGCAGTGACGGCAACGGACGAGAGGGTTGCGGGGGTTCCCAGGTTCGGTTTGGACGAGAAGGGGTTGTGAGGGTCCAGGACGACGTCTTCGTAATCTTTGACATAATTGATCTGCATGGACGAGAGGTCGCGGTAGGGGTCGGTTTTGGAGATGCAAGTGGTGTAGAAGACGGCGCTTCTGTCGTTGACCATGTTGCTGTACAAGGTGTGTCTCTTGAACTTCTTCAGGCCCGACATGAAGATCGAGTTGGGATCAGCCAAAACCACCAAGAGGGGCCGGCCCGTGTCGCGAAACTTGTCAATGGTAAAAAGCTGGCGTCCGGACATGGAGAGAGTCCTTGCGCCGAGGACGTTCCAGACGTGGTTGTGCCATCCTTTGAGAGGCGTGCGGACACCGAGATGAGGCGAGGCAAACGTGGTGAAGTTCTGTGCGCCGGGCGTCAGTGAGAGGCATCAAGGCTCAACGTCGAACGACGGCCCTTACCATGCACTCGAGCTTGTCTAGCAACCCCTTTGCATAGAGGAGGCCGACGGCATAGCGTGCGACGAGACCACCGAGCGAGTAACCGACGATGCTGATTTTAGTGATGCTGCCTCCTCTCTTCTCGATCAAGCCAAGCTCTTCCTCGATCTCGGCGCACACACGCTCGCCGCCGCGCTCGATGCCATCGTAGGTGAAGCTCCCGCTATTTCTTTTGGCGAGGAGGAGATAGAGCTTGTCAGCAGGATACTGGGACCGCAGGCTCTTCGCAATGTTGGCCATGTGATTGGGGTTTCCCCAAAGCTATAGCAGCCTCGGGTGGTTAGCAGGTGATCCCAGGCGCAACGACGTCCCACAGGTAAGTAGGTAGGTAGGCAGCGTGGGGTGACGTAGGTGATTTCTGAACATACCCCGTGAACCAAGACGCAGAGATGGTCAGCCTCTGCGCTACCGCCGGTATAATCCATGATGCAAGAGTAATCAGAAGAGATCAGGGACCGGTCGATAGAGCGTACGGAAAAGGGCAACAACGTGTGGGACAGGGAGAAGTGGTGAGCTGGAAGGAAGAGGGTGAGCGTCTACAATAAGACGCAACAACCCTCCCCAACAGGCCCGTGGCGAAGCTGGTCGTCCGCCGGAGCTTCGGGGGCGCTTAGAGGCCGCGCCCAGGCTCTCCTGGCGGCCCTGGTGCCTCTGGTGCCCCCAACCTGCCCCAACTCGCCCCAACCCACCCTAACTCCAGGCCTGTGGGCTCCTCTCGTCCAGGCTCTCCAGGGGACGCGTTGCTCCCGGAGGCCACCTCCTAAGTCCGATGCACCTGGATCGGGGGCGCCTGATCAGATGCCAGCAAGGTACCTAATATACCTATGTACCTTACCTAGGGTACCTAAGATACCTAGGTAGGTAGGTAGACAGAGACAACGACCTTGTGATGATTTCCCTATGGCGATGGTGAAATGGTCTTGCTATGCCGTCGCAAGTAGCTCTGGAGAAGCAGCAGCAAAGAGATGGCAGTCGCAAAGCACACGAACAGAGTGTGCTTTATAGGTATGCAGACATGGCCGATACGCTCATGCCCCTGCGAAGGCCCGGGTTCGCGCTCTCCGTATCGCAATCACCATCACACAGCAGCGGGCGCGCGCTCCTGACCACGGTGCTGATAAGGAAGGCGGGATGCAACGGGCCTGGGGCAGCTTTCGAGACCACACCGCCACGAGCATTCAGACATCTTTATCAGATTGGAGATAAAGACTGTGTCTCTGTGGTGAAGGGCCTCCCCTCCCCTCCGAAGCCCGGCCATGATAGGCAAGTCCTTACTGGCTGCCACAGCCACGGCGTATTTTTCCTTTCCTTTGTCGTGACGTCTAGGGATACGAGTTGAGACAGAAGGAGTCGTGGGCTTTTCTCATGTGGATCATGAACAGCGTAAGACAAGATGGGCGATTACGACCCAAGTTGTTGTTGAAGGGATGGCCTTCTCTGCACTCCTCTGCTGCCAGTTGAAGGCTACCTACCAGGTAAGGTAGGCACCCATCCACATCGCCGCTGGACCACTTACCTAATCTCGGCCAGCCGATTGACTTCATGCCATCCCTGTACTCTTTGACCCTGATCCGTCAACCGCCCAACAATGCACCCTCCATTTCAGGTTGGCGACGACACGTACAAGACACCGTTGACGTTTGAGATCTCATCCCATTACTGATGCCAGCGGGCACACCACGCGGATATGGGCTTGTGCACCTCATACTCTGTTTGACGGCTTTTATCCTCCATCTCATGACCAGTGGCTCTCATCATTCATCCATGCTTTCATTGGCTCCTAAACATTGTCCAACTCTCAGCTGCCTAGGTGCCTACATATCTCTAGGTGAGGTACCTACCCAGGTAACCTGCCTTACCCGTATCAGTAGGTACGCCCTCAGCGAGGAAACTTGCCCATTCTGATATCTTCATTCGCACCCTTCTGTAAGTTTTCACTTCATCTCATTCCTCCCTTTTTGGTTTCTTTTCCTGTCTTCTCCATTCGAGCAATTCATCGAATTTGCCCATGAGTCTTTGGTCAGTGGGCGTCTCATCCCTGAAGACACCTCAGTTCAAAGAACCCGTGGCTAGCAATGGGGGCCTTGTACCTCACGTCTACCTCACATCTACCTTGCATGAGCCTGCATTCAATACCGAAATCAAACGGCAGAGCTGACTAAACAGATGCAAAGGATCCTGCTATACTTGCTATCTGCCCTGATCAGCCGGCTTGCTGTCACGACACGACATGGCTTCTTTCCTGAACCTCAAACACCTCCCCTGCCCAGCTGGGGAGACTTGCACGGCCTTCCAATGCATGTTCGGCCATAAAAAAGACAGTCCCAGCTCCGCCCCTCCATCACAGGTCGTGAAGCCAGGCACATCTCGACAGAGACCAGACGACGAGCCTGCATCTCTCCAGGATAGTCCCAGGAAGCGCCAGAGAACCGAGCAAGTCGTCTCGCCTCCACAAACCTTCTCAACCCCTGGACAACCTCTCAAATCTGCTCAGCCCGCCTCGAAAGCCGTCGTCCCAACCCGGAACACAGATGGCAGCCTGTCCACGCAAGCTCGTCCCATCTCACCGCCATCTTCAAAGAGACTAGCCACATCACGACCACCTGTTGCGCAACGCTCCTCGCTGAATCGAAACCCCAACAACACGCCTGCCAAGAGTCGCTCCGCTTCTGCCACCAACACACCATCAGTGACAAGCTCTTCCACCAAAAAGGTCACCGGGTCCGCTGGCACCTCATCATCAAAAGGCGGCGCAACCCACGCAGCCAATGCTTCCTCCACCTCCACATCCGCCGAAGCATCCCCGTCCGCCAAGCCTAGGAAGCCAGAGACGCTCAACCCGCGCCTTCTCAAGAAGTCCCCTGCTACCTACCAAACGAGAGTTCAACTCTTGAAGATGCTTCATCAAGAGTACACTCGACTAAACAAAGAACTCAAGAAAGTCGCAAAAGGAGACGACAGCCAACTCGTCCTCTCTGACCAGCACCTTATCTGGAAAGCACTGGACGAAGAAGAGAAGTGCGCAACGGAGAAGCCAACTATCTACAGCAACGTGGTCAAAAACCGAATTATGCAGTACAAACGAATGGCCGTCAGGGAGTGGACGGAAGAGCGTCGAAATGAGCATCAAAGCCGCAACCCAAAATCACGACCAGACGCAAAGTCATCAGGTACCCCCAAGGTCCTCAGCACGGGACTGAAGCCTGCCCAAGAAGTCCAGATACTCCGCCGTCTTGTGACCTCTATCAAAGGTCTTGACGCTCACGGTTATGTCCCTACCCCTCCTGTAGAGGCAGAGATCGCAAAGGCACGCCAAGGGCTTGAAGCTGCTCAAGGATGGGAAAAATGTGACCGGTGCGACAAACGATTTCAAGTCTTCCCTGGGCGCCGAGACGCAGACGGTGCTCTTACCTCTGGCGGCGTATGCAAACATCACTATGGAAAGACGTACTTCCCCGAACGTCAGCCCGGCGATCGCTCCAAGCAACAGAAAAGATATCGTTGCTGTGGAACACAAGTGGGAGATTCCGTTGGCTGCACCGAGACCCCGCATCACGTCTTCAAGGTAAATGATCCGAAACGACTGGCTGCGGTCATGGACTTTGCCGAAACGCCAGAGAATCCGTCGGTGCCGTCGGATAGAGCCGTCTGCTTTGATTGCGAAATGTGCTACACGGTCAACGGGCTGGAGCTCGTCCGTCTAACGGCTACTGCCTGGCCCAGCGGCGACATCATGTTGGATGTCCTCGTGCAACCTCTAGGCGAAATCCTCGACCTCAACTCCCGATTCTCGGGTGTTTGGCCCGAGGACATGTCACGAGCTCAGCCTTGGACCAGCATGGAGATACCACCCGTCGCCATGAACACCAACACCAAAAATTCGGACGGTTATCAGAAGGCTGCGCTGAGAATCGTTCCATCACCAAACGCCGCACGCGACCTTCTCTTCTCTCTACTCGCCCCTAATACACCCCTCATCGGGCATGGCTTGGAAAACGATCTAAACTCTGTCCGCATCATCCACCCGACACTCGTCGACACTGTCCTACTGAACCCGCACAAGCACGGCCTACCTTATCGACATGGCCTCAAAATGCTCATGGAAACGCTGCTGAACCGCAAAATCCAGATGGAGACAGGAGGCAAGATCCAGGGACACGACTCGGCGGAGGATGCTCGAGCTGCCGGAGAACTGGCTCTGCTCAAGGTCATGGAAGAGTGGCAGAACATGCGATTCAAAGGCTGGACTTTGGAGAAGATTACAGGTGACATGGTTCCACCGAAGGATGCTTCGAACAGTGGCGCCAACGGTGGAATTGACGACACCAAGTTGACTGTGGAGTTCCTAGAGACTGCACATTGATTTCAACGTCAATGTCGCCCCGAGGATCACTTCGGTAGTAGCGATGCTGGTCGTCCTGGCTAGCCACTTTGACATGATCGCGGAACCCGCGAGCTATTCGGTAGTTCATGCCACATCTGGGCAATAAACAACTGACAATGCGCACGTCGACCCCATCCTCGCTTGTATAATAGGAGTGACATGCGCAATGTATCGTATGACATCTTGGCCCAACGTCTTTCATTCTTGGTAGTTGTGTTTCATGCGCTTAGCAAAAACAGCCAACAGGCAGATCATGGGAAGAGAGGACCCTGACTGCTTCTTCATAACCAGCACATATTGGAAAGGGGATATACGTAGAATTACACTCATTTAAGTGGCGTCCAGCCGCGGCCACCTTTTGGCCTGAATACTATTACAAATATCATCCACCAAGCTGATTACCGGCCAACGTTCAGAAGCATCTGGCTGCCGCCAGACTTGCCACCACCAGGCAGGTACACGACGTTGGGGTTGGAAGACAGTGTGGACGCGATCTCCCTGCTCGCCTCAATCTTACGGATCTGGATGAGGCCGTCGCCAGACTTGGAAATGGCCTTGGCGATGGCGTCGGCACTCTCGGCCTCGCCTTCGGCACGGATGACGTTGGCCTGGCGCTCCTGCTCTGCCTTCTCGACGATGAAACGCGCACGCTCGGCATCCTGCTGGGCGATCTGCTTCTGCTCGACGGCCTTGGTGAACTCCTTGCCGAAGGTCATGTGGGTGATGGATACGTCTTCGAGAGCAATGTTGAATTCGGCGGCGCGGCGGGTGAGGTCGGAGCGGATGCGCTGGGAGACGGCCTCGCGCTGGGTGATGAGCTCGGCGGCGTCAAATTGGGCGACGATGGACTTCAGGACTTCGTTGCCGATGGAGGGGAGGACACGCTCATCATAGTCGGCGCCGAGATTCTGGAGAAACGCAAACCAGTGATTAGACCTCTAATTTTCTGAATGAACAAGCCGGGACTAAGAGGGCACATACTTGGTAGATCTTGGGCAACGCCTTTACTTCTGGCCTGTGCAACACCCTCAACGTCAGGCTGACCATCTGCAAGTCCTTGCTGCCCGTCATGGTGGCGATGCTCCTGGGCTTGGTGCGCACGTCGAAAACGATGCTCTTCTGCAGCCAGGGGATGAGGAAGTGAGTGCCCTCGTTGATGACCTCATCCTTCACACCCTGCACTCTGTCGAAGATGACTGCCCTGGAACCGCCACGGACATCGTAGATGGCGGTTGAGAGGAGGCTGGCACCCAAGAAGGCCGGCACTGCCGCCTTGGAGATGAAGTTGAGAGCTGCGGCCATTGTGGAAGGAATTGCGGCACCGGCGCGATGGATAGAGCGAGACTGTGGTCGGCGGGGTCGGTGCGATGAAGACAGGAGAAGGAGCTGGTGATCGGCTGTCGGAAGGTTTGAAGCTGCACTGCTCAAAAGCTCCAGTTGCACGCACACGTTCGAACCTGAGGCGGAGCTTACGAAGGTGCTTCAGCGCCGACCCGTCATGGAAATTCTCGCCCGGAGGTGACACAAACCGGGGCCATTGTAGCAAAGGGGGCGCTAAACCGTTTCGGGTGCACTTCGGCAAGAACCTCGACAGGATTTCGAACCTCACCCGATTGATCCTCTTCGACACTCCAAGCACCTTCGATCCCCGACACAGACCTCGTGCGTCACTCCCCCGATTCGACAACATGAGACCTTCCCAGATCCTGCTCGGCGGCGGCGGCGTCCCCAAGGGCAAATTCAACCAGTAAGACGATTTACGCTGGGCGCAATTGGCCCGGGCGCGGTGCGGCTTTTCGTCCAGGGCGAACAGTTGTGACTGACGATTGCCCGGGTCTTTTGTTTGCCAATTGTTCTCTCGAGTTTCAATGCTAATTGACCTCGCAGCTACCTCGGCGATTGGGGAAACATCGGTTAGTACCGCCTTCCCCCCCCCCCGACGCAACGACGCAACGGCACAACATCATACGACGGACATTGGGTTTCGAAGCTCGTCAGAAACACGCGGGACAGCAGACTTCGATGACGATGGAGAGCCTACCGCTCAGCTCCACACGCAACGAGCCAGGAGTTGAGTGGTAATATTCAAGATAAACACCTTTCTAACAAACAAACAAACAGGTGGCGAGAAGCAGCGTGGCATCATCACATTCGGTGTCTCTGCCAACCGCCAGAACCCCTTCGCCGGCGCCGGCCACGATGCCGTGTTCAACACCTTCCGCCGTTTCCGCGGCTCCGTCCTCTACGTCGTCCCTCCTCTGGTTGTCGCCTACTACGCCATGGACTGGGCCATTCACCGGTGCGTTCGCCAGACACGCTCTGCGCGTGGAGCGCTGCGAGATGGGTTTACTAACTTGTAATAGCAACGAGTACCTGAACTCCAAGGCCGGTCTGGCCGAGTTCGCTGACGAGGAGGAATAAATTTGGAGCGACCAGAGGATGAATGATTAGACGGCGAGACCCTTGTGTCAAAACACTTGTACATCAGCTGAGCGACGGGGGGAGGGAGTAGAGCTATTCCAATTGAGTGACGCATACAGACGATAGGATCTTGCTACTTTCGCTGCGTGGTGGATGCAACGCTGACATATTTGTCAATGGCTGCTGATGTGAATTGCTTCATAAGGTAACATAAATCCTCGACTCCTTGCGCATCCGCCTCAATGCGCGGTGGTTTCCTACGGATTGACGAAAGAGCTCCATCTGCAGGCAGAGAACTCCATTATCTGTCAAATCGCTATCTGTATAAACATCACTGCTTCATGACGCAAATCTGCCAAAACGTAAGGCAGCCAACTTCGCTCATTAGCAACCCGAAGCCTCTCATTGGTGAGATGGTACTGGGTCCTTCGTCAAACCGCGTTCAGAGCGGCACACCCACTCGAGATGAGTTGTGCACAGGAATCAACAACTGGCAGCAGCTTTTCGGCGTTAGTAGAAGGGACGACTGGCAAATATGATTGAAATCGCTGCTCCGAGGGCCAGAAACCGACGCATGGCATCTCACTCAGGTTTTCATTAAAGTCACGTGAAGTCGTCCGACTCACCGACAATTCCCCGCCGACTTTCCTCACCGAGAATTTCGGCCCGGATATACTTCCACCCAGCGCCGACTCCAATTGGCGGGCACACGAGCTCCCCGCAAAAAAATCCGAAGGGAAAAATTTCGAGCTTCCTTTGGTACTTGCTGCACCCAGCGACGATACCACGAAACGACTTGAGCGCCCACCCTCGAAGATCCGTCCCGCCAAAATCGCCCAGCACCCGCACCCGCACCCAGGAACCAATTTGTCGTTAGAAAACCCCTGACAGTCGCAGCAATGGCGTCCGAGCGTCCTGACAAGAAGGAGAAGAAGGAGAAGAAGCGCTCCGACGCCGACGGTGTGGCCAAGGTCAAGAAGGACAAGAAGGACAAGAAGGAGAAGAAGGAGAAGCTCGAGCGCGCCCTGGACGAGCACATACAGGCCGATGCCGCCGCCGCTGCCGCGGCGCCCGTCGTCGAGACTGACGGCGCCGTCAAGAAGGTCGGCCCCATCATCCCCGGCGCCACGGTGCCCTTCGCCGTGCCGCTGGCCGACGACAAGGCCATGAAGAAGATCATGAAGACGATCCGCAAGTGTGAGTAGCTAAACATCCATTGGATCAAACGTCCGGCGCGAAGCCGGCGACTCTTGGCCCGACCACCCATACGTTCAACTGCTGATCTGTTTTCTCCCCCGCAGCCGCCAAGAACAACACCCTCAAGCGCGGCGTCAAGGAGGTCGTCAAGACGCTCCGCAAGTCCCCGGCCGCCGCTCCCGGCCGCACCTCTTTCCCCGGTGTTCTCATCATCGCCGCCGACATCTCGCCCATGGACGTCATCGCCCACCTTCCCGTGCTCTGCGAGGACCACAACGTGCCCTACATCTTCGTGCCCTCCCGCGCCGAGCTCGGCGCCGCCGCCAAGACGAAGCGTCCGACTTCCGTTGTCATGGTCATGGAGACGGCGTCCGCTGCCGGCGCCAAGAAGGCGGAGAAGAAGGAGAAGGACGACGAGGACGACGGCGAGGACTTTAAGGAGTCGTACGACGCGCTCGTCAAGCTCGTGCAGAAGGAGACGGCGAGGCAGGCTTTCTGGGCATGAGGTATTTCGCCGACGGATGTCTGAGACAGGCTGTTGGAAACCGGAGAGGAGAGTAAAGACAGAGAAACCTGGCCGCTGACGGGTACTGCCGCCCGTGAGCCGGCGTGCGTCGATAGATGCGGGCGAGAGGAAGTGTTCAGGACTGCCAGGCAGCTCTGTGGGTATGGTGGTGTATTATACCTCCTGGCCATGTCGCGCGACAGGGACATAACGGATGGGACCGGCGTTTGGTGTCGAGTATTGCTTCGTACTCAAAATATGACGACTATTTGTTCACACTGATAACTCATTCATGTGATGTGATGCTTTTCAAGCTGCCTGAATAGCACTGGCAAGACTGTTGTGATCCATGTATGCTCGAAGCGCTCTTGCGCACGCTACGCGAATGCCAATTACATCCAATGGTTTACAAGGGGGAGACACATGGCAATCGACAAGAAGCAGGCTTCCATTGGTTAGAGGCAAGTTCTCAATTCATTATCTCTAAACTCCTGAACCTTCCAAGTCCCAGACTATAAGCACATAGGGTGCAGGCTGCTGACTTATATCGTCTGCTGGCCATGCTTCCCTGTTGGTATTCCGACTAAAGGAACGACCCAAAATTATCCCTTACTCGAAAGGGTTGGTGCGGGTGCCCCACCAGGTCAGGAAGACGGACAGGCCGACCGTCTCAAAGACCTTGGCAAGGACGCTCACGCCGACGGTGTCAAGAGCATGCTTCTCGATGAAGACCTCGGAGATGTACTGAGCAGGGTGTTAGGGGGATTTCAAAGTAAAATGGAGCAAGGGCAGACATACACCAGGGGCGGCAGTGGCGGCGAAGATCAGGGCACCGAGGTAAGAAGCGCCCTTGTAAGACAGAGTACCAGTGGCGTTGATGAGAGCACCGACACCGTAGGCCTGGAGGGCAGAACCGACGAGGGAGGTGCCCCAGGCGACGGCGGCGGAGGAAGCCTCCTTGGACTTGGCGAACTCCTCCTTGGAGTGGGCAGCCTTCGCGCGCTGGTAGGTCTGGCCGAAGAGGGGGCTGAGGACTGAACGATCTCATGTGAGCAGGCGTGATCACGGAGTGGACGGCGGTGCGGGGTACAGCCTGGAGAAACTTACTGGCAAGCTCAGCGGTGTGGTTGAAGATGGTGCCGAGGGCAATGGCCGAAGGCTTGACGGGGGGGAGGTCTGACGAAGATACATTAGAATGACTGTTGTCCCGGGGAGGTCGTGTGATGCGGACGGATGCCACCATCATCCACATGTGATGATGCTGGAACACCTCGAGGCAGCGACGAAATCATCGACAAGTGCATCGGCAGCCAATGTGCCAAGCAGGGCCGTCCATCCTCGGAGAATCAGGACTTACAGTGCAGAGACATGTTGGCTGGTGTTTTAGGGTATCTTGGATTGGTAGTGAGGATCGTTTGTTGTTCGTTATGACGGTGTGACAGGAAGGAGAAAGCTGGCTGACGAGGGGACGCGGCACGCTTTTATGGGAGAAGGTGAGGAATGGGGTGGCAGCTGGAAAGCTTTCCCCGTCCGTCGTCCTCAGGCTGTCACACATGCACAACAGGGCAGGAGCTCTTGCTGGCTACCTACCTACTCGGCCTGCTCCCTTGCCCCTCAAGCCCGTGACCTGGGCTCCAAAACATGAATGACATGGGTGACCTCGGGAACCCCTCTTGGAAGGTAGTGTACATGGCTGAGGCAGGCGCTACGGGCAACAGATCGTGTACCGCAGCCGGGATCGGTCAATCCAGCAGCGCTGCTAATGACCACCCGCCGCTGGCTAGGGGACAGCTTTGGGGAAAGGGGGGCGCGGCTGGTTTGCGCATTGCTGGGAACAAGCTGCTCGCACCCGCCCCAGACCAGCCAGTGTCGTCACCTGTGCAATGATGTCACCATAGCCGATTTCAGAAGCCCACCTCACTTTCACGTCTCCCCCCAGCTCACTCACTCACTTCCCTGCCCAGCCCTCCGCTTGCGCCAGGTCTGGATTGGCTCAAGCTGGATGAACATGGTGTGCCCCACACGCCCCACGAATCCGTCATTGGCCCACGCCCCAGCTCCCGCAATGATGTTCTGGCCCGCCCCAAACCGCTCATTGCCAGGGCACTCAGCAGGGGCCTTGTCTGTTCCATCGAGCCGATCCTCGATTGCCCATCGGAGCTTATACTCCTGCCCTCACCTCTCATTTCAGGCCCCAGTACCTGATATGCCTACCAGGTTCACCTCACAGCAAGTGGCGTCGTGATCTGACCCGGGACGCCAGGAGGAGAGGATGCTTGATGAAAGCTCATTTCCTTGCTTGTGGCTGTGCATCGTCAAGATGCATATCCAGAAACTCCCATCTCCTGCCGTCTTTCTGTTTCGAGACGAAAAGTGAATCCACATCGCATTCCGATGCCACTTTTCCCTGCTGGCTTCGGCGCTCGTTAATAGAACAGCATGATGGTACCATCGCGTCATCGCATCACAATTGCACGCTAATCTTTCTTCTCCCTCAGTGGTCCTCCTTGCACCTTGCCCGGCCGTCTGCCTCCCCACACACACCCTTGCTCGTTCTGCTGCACCCGGAGCACCTTAGCCCAGGAACGTCGGATGCCCCGTCGTGCTTCACGAGGTTGTCCGTGAAACAGGTTGAGCAAAGGCCAGCATAATCCCCTGAGCCCCCGCCCCTCGTCGATGCAGCCTTTCCAGGTCCAGGAGGATCATACGTGACACACAATCACGTGTCGTTCAGCTGCATTATGGACAAACTGGAATAACAATTGCACAAAACCCGCTCTCAGAACCAGCTTATCGACGTTGCCGTCGTTCCCTGAATGCTGGTTTCTTTGCGCCCACCCGCTCAGAAACTCCGTTTCACTCCCGGAAACCTACAACACCGCTGTTGGTATACATACACACATTCAATCGCCTTCAGACGTAGTTGAAGCCGCTGAAGTTTCTCACGCTCCACCTGCCCCTTTGTCTTTGCCATTACAACGACTATGCCATGTGCTGACCGTCCTCGCCTCCCCTCAACGCCAGCAGCGCCCGCACATCCGACACGTACTGCAGACCCTCAAGAAGCGGCACCAGATGCAAAAGGTCGTTGTCCGTCGGGTCGTTAATCCAGCCTTGGATGGGTATCGCATTGTCTACGAGGCAGAGAAGAATAGGTCAGCAAGAAGAAGAAGAAGAAAAAAGCCCAAAGACACCCAACAGATCGTACCTTGATGGAACATGTAACTCAGCGGGCTGTTGTCCAAGATCATAACCCTGCTGAGGTCGGGCTCGACAGAGCTCAGGTCCTTGATGAACGCACCTTGCCGGAACGTGCAGTGCTGGCGATAGTAACGAGCCGAGAAGAATTTCCTCTCCGACTCGAGCCAATCTATGACAGGGTCGGCGTATTCCTGCACGGAGGCCGTGAAGACTACAAGATTGTACCACTTGCAGATCTGGATGCCCAACGTCAGCATGTACTGGGCTGTGTGTCTAGCGAGTGAGCCTTACCCTGCGCAAGAAGTCATCGCAATAGGGCCGCTTGTTGACCCAGTAGAGAATGGGGTGTTGCGGCCCCAGCGACGTCTGCCCTCCGGCGCCGACATAGGTCTGGTTTAGACGGACTTCGACCATGTGCCCAGTACTCATGCGGCCTCCCTTAGACATGCTGTGTATCAATGTTTCGTCAAGATCCAGGATCAGTGTCTTCTGGTACTTCCGATCGGTTTGTTCGAGGTTGAGGTATGATGGTTGGCGGCGGGGAATAAGGGGGCGAGGTGGTGCTGGTGTTCTCGGGTACTTCGTCAAAGCGCCAGCAGGTGATGTCGGCGACTTGAGCTGGGCAGAAATGTCGGCCACGGCGTTGCCGTCACTGCGTTTGGCCTGTGAGCTGGCAGATTGGGTCTTTCGGTGTTTTCGGAGTCCTTCCTCGCTGTGTAGCTTGATACGTATAGACCTTCGTGACGGGGCGATTTCTTCTGTGTCTTGTAGAGTCTTGGAGCGGGTATGTCGTTGTACGGAGTTGCGATGCTGGTTCCTGTGGTCAGGATCCGATTCGGACTCGGACGAGAGGCCAGACGATGATGAGCCGGAAGACCTTACAGGCCGAGACAATGTGCCGTACGCTTGACTCGAAGTAGAGAGGTGCAGGCCATTCTTCTCGTCATAGAAACCAGATTCGTGCGCAAACTTATCATTGCGCGTCCCAAAGAGCTTTCTCAGCTGAGAGAGCGGCGCAAATGCGCCCGAGGTATCATACAGACAGGCGATGAGGTAGACGCCAGGAGCGGCCAGGGTAGAGAAGAACCATCGGATCGAATTGATGAACGTGGTTGCGATGGAACGCGGCAGAGAATGCCACGTCGCTGACCGCACTCCCGCCTCCTTCGACTCATTCATTAGGGGCGTGTATTCACTCGGCGCATCGATGCTGACGGACGCTTCGTCGACCTTCTCGGATTTGACAGTCGTTGAAACATGGTCTTCGAGAGCGTCATCCCTTCGCTTCCGGTCCGGGTCGCCATCGCACGAGTCATCATTGGGCTCTACCGCCATGCCTATGGAGCCGAAAGAGTTGGATCGCGAGGGGCCTGGGCTTGGTGGCGGCGACACCCGCGAGGTGATTATGTTCAAGGAGTTCATCTTTGGTAATAAATGTAGTCCATAAGGCATGGATAGGCGAAACCGACAAAGGATGCAGCAGATTTCGAAGGCTGAGCACCAGGGGGGCCTAACGTATTGATACAGGTCGCGAAGGGAGATGCTGCCGGAAACGCGCAATAGAAAAGTATGGATGTAAGGTCGGTAGAGTCCAAATTAGGTGCCAAAAAAACGAGTGGACGGCGACCTGCGTGTTTTGCGTATACGAGGTTCGAAGTCGGCCGGAGGGGGGTTGACCAGTCTCTGAGACGCTTCAAGTGTTTCCCCAGAGAAAGTACCGATCACCTCGTCGCCATGAACGATAATTAAGTGGAAGGGCTTCTCCTCGGCGATGCGCTCTTTTCGGTAGGATGGCGGGGATGACGAGGGAGTCTGACGTCTATCAAAGGGATGGTCGCTGATGCAGGTCGGAATTCAATGCAACGTTCAGTCGGAAGGGGAGGGCACCTCAAACAGTTCGGATTCGGCTGCGAACGATGGTCGCGTTTGGCGCAAGGGGGTGGGGGGGACCCAATGTCGTGAATTTGTCGAATTGCAACGGCCCAAGGGAGCTCTGCGCGAGCAACGAAGTTGAAGGTCGAGAATTGTGCCACGGCAAGCAGACGGAGGGTGAATGAGTGAATAGACAGGCTGCCTAGGCTGTCAGAAAGCGAAGCTCAACAGTCTGTCGCACCTGGCCTGAGTGGGAGTCCGTGTCTGTGTCGGGTTAGAAGGGACTGGGCTGATCCTTCCACATTCAGTTGGGGCGACGGGAACGAGGTTCACGTGTTCTGGCTGGTCATCCTCTAGGGCGAGCTGCCGATGCCAAGCGACTACGTAATTACACCTACGCCGAGGTCCTAACTGGGGCTACATTCTGTATGCCGTGAAGCTTGAGGAGGTCCGTTTGGGGGGGCCCTTCTCTTAAGGACTAGTCCGTTACTATTACGGACGGGCAAATCAGCATCGGCTTTGCCTAATCCAATATGTGTAGGTATGTAACAAATGATCAAGAGCGATCAGAAGGAGACTGTTGATGGATGGTAGGTAGTCATGTACCCAAGTTGAAGGTCCTAGGCCAATGCCCAAACCCCCTTGCTAGCCTTGACAGCAAGCAGCAGCTCGATCTTTCGATGCAAAGCCGTCTTCAATGCTTGGTTTCGATGTGGAGGTGTCGCGATCTCAGAGCAAAACCGTAAATGCACGTGATTCAAGACTCCAAGTTTACCCACGGCTAACTCATTATGGTTAGTTCATACTGTGAAATTCCCCATCCCACCATGCCCAAGCAAGGCACATTGTCTACGTACCTCCACACAGAGTGGGATGGCGCTGATCGTAGCTTTGACTCAGAACCACAAACCCTTCAAGATCAGCCCTCGACGACGAGTATCCAAAGTTCTAGTTCGTCTGCTCAGCCTGTTTCGAGCCCCCGCCATACAAGACGGTAGTAACTAAGACTTTTCTCACGGCAAGCTGATTTGGTACATCTTGTTCCTGGAAGAACCCCGCGCAATCCGACTGCCCACGGACACGGCGCACGAAGACACCCCGCGACAACACCCACTCCGAAATCAAGCGATCACAGCACCCTGCGCCCAGATTCAATACCACCATGTCGTCCGTGAAGCCGAGCCTCTCGGAGCTCGAGAGATATCTCAAGTCTTTGAAGGGAAAGTCGCTTGAGGCTTCAATTGACAGTCTTATTTCGTGAGTTTGCCCGTGGGTATGCGCACTGGCCAGTTCGCCAACTAAACGCCCATTTAGCCTCCTCAAGCGACGACAGATTTCCGGCGCCGAGCCATGCGCTGTTGCCACCGCACACATCCTCCTCCAGGTAGTCGCCAAGACAAGATTTCAGGATGTTGACCAGATGCTTGAGAAGGTCCAGCAGGTCGGATGTCGGCTTGTGGCGGCGCAACCTAAGGAGCTCGTTGTCGGCAATATCGTTAGGAGAGTGCTGGGCTTGATTCGTGATGAGGCTGCCGAAGACCGAAATGACGGAGGCGATGAGACACCAAGCGATGTACAGATGACACCTACTGCGGCCGTCGCCGACGCATCCAAGCTCGAACATCACTGGCCCCCGTCCACGTACACGAAGCAGGATGCCGGCGCGGACTATATATCCAGCGGGCCCCGACCAGTTCGGCCAGGTGCCTTGACGTCTGCCAGCTCCTTCTCGGTGCCCAAGACCCTACTCAGCTTGCTCGAGGCCGCCCCTACGGTGGATGTGCACAGCACCGCGTCGGGATCGCCTTACATCGGCGCGGGTTCTCCCTACCTTGGTGGCTCGGGTGTGTCCACTCCTATGCGCGGACAACAGACCAGAGTGAACGCTATCAGGGCAGAAATCATTGATGGCATCGATGAGATCAAAGACGAGATTAGCCAGGTCGATGACCAGATCGCTTCGGCTGCTGAGGTGCAGATCCACCCCATGGACTACGTGCTCGTTCACCAGCCCTCTGCCACTGTGCAAAAGTTTATCCTCCGTGCGGCTGCCAAGAGGAGATTCACGGTGCTGATTGCGACTGAGGCGCCCCGTGCATCGTCTGACGAGCCGCCGTATGCCCATTTTAGGAAGAAGCTGTCGGCAGTCGGTGTCTCGTCTATCAACGTGATGAACGCCGGCCTCATGGCACACATGCCACGCATCAACAAGGTCGTGCTCGGCGCTCGGTCGGTGCTCGCCAATGGCGGCGTCGTGACCGATGCAGGCGCCGGAATCATCGCAAGGGCAGCCAAGGAGCGGGGAACATCAGTCATTGTTCTCAGTGGCGTCTATAAATTGAGTCCAGAGAGCTCGGTTGACGAGGAGAATCTGAATGAATGGGGCAGCTCAATGAGCCACGTGAGCTTCGCCGACGGGCCACTTGTGAACGGCGTCGATGTACGAAGCGCCGCCACGGAACTGGTGCCGGCAGAGCTTGTCGACACATACATCACCAACCTGTAAGTGGACTCGTGTTAACAGGATGAGCGGCAGACCGGACTGACACATTGACAGGGGCGCGCACTCTCGCAATCACCTCTCAACCATCATCGCGGACCACTACAAGCAGGAGGATGTGGACTTCCAGCTGTGGGACGAGCTGGAGAGGTAAAATCAAGAGCTCAGGGAGCATGATGTTGTGGCAGCTGTCGTGGTCAGCTCACAAAGTACTGCATACATGGCGATGACAGAGATGGCTGCCTGTGCCAGGACATTCTATAGCTGGGTTTCATGAGAGTAGCTACACCTCAGATGTGCTTGTAGCTCAATTCGGGAGTCTGAAAGCCAGCAGGCTTTCTAATGAGGAGAGAGTAGCGGTTTCTGAGCGACAGGGCTGAGCAATCATGGCAGATCGGGGAAAGGGCCGTGGTTGTTCTAGGAGGAGGGGCTGGCCGCGTAAGCAGATGCAGTGACGCGGTCGGCGGGATGGGGCCACTTGAGGGGGGCCTCACCCTCCGGCCCTATCGTCGTCCCTCGGCACAAGAGTGGCTCGAGTCTGCCTTGCGCCCAGAGGGTCATCACGACATAGTCACTGGGTCGCCCTGAAATCAGGGCTGAATTGTTGGGCAGAGTACCTAGGAAGGGTACGGTAGCCGAAGGAGGTAACCCAGCACTCGGCAGTTTGCAGTCTGCAGTCTGCGCACTTATCATAAGGCTGGATGACTGCCATCATGTAGCATATCAAAGCCTATGAATGAAACCGGTACGTGAAAGGCGGGCTGGCAACCTAGTCGGTTTATTTCGCATCGCCAAGTGCTTGGATTGGGACAAGTTCAGGCCAAACGCATCTTGGACGCCAGCTCAGGCAGCGTGCGCCTTACAGCAGCCTCCCTCTGAACAGCCATTGAGCTGATTTAATCCACTGAAAGGCGAGGCAGTGGAGGTAAGCAAGCAGGCTCGACCCGTCTCCCAGCACAGACTCTCTCGCCCGCATTCACCTATTTGGCCAACAAGCTACAAACAACCCTGCCAAAACACCACCACCACCAAGGTCACCTATATCGCCGTTAATCAACAAATACCTTGGAATCACTTATCATTGCGCGCCTACTCATCTTCGTCGACGACATTGCATCCCCATGGAACCCGTATCTGGTTTTGCTGTTTCCAGGATTTCGTCTGCCGCCACACACCTGGAGGTTTCTCAGAACCTATTCTCCTCTATCTGTCTGCTGAAGGTCTGATACAACGGGCACGTCAGCCAGTCCGACATACTACCATGGATATTCCCGACCCGCCGCCGCCCCCATACTCCGAGACGGATATCTACTCTAGTGGTCATTCCAATCAGGCTATTGATGGCATCGATGCTCGGTATTGTGACCCGTCCAGCCGGCCCCCCGGCCGCCCAGACTCTTCAGCCTCGTCATCTCAACTTCAGCCTGCTGCCGCCCTTTCACCCAGTAACCAGAGTGAGGTGGATCTCACTCCGTCCGCAAGTGACCGCCGTAACAACTCAGTCAGCGAGTCATCCTTTCCGGTCTCCTCGCTCTCATCAGCGGCAGCACACGATTACTTCGAAACTCGTCCACTACCTAGGGGCTTCTTTCAGGATCATCACGTTACTCAGACGATTTCTCTCATATCGACCTCTCGTCCAGATGATTTTCCCTACAGACAGGAATGGGCTAAGCGCGATGTGAGTTCGTCAGACTGGCAGACCTTCCTGAACTTTCTACTGCCCAATCACGCCACTGCACGTAACGAAGCCGTCATTGATCGCAAACTGCTCGCCGAGACAGACAGCACCACGGGTTCTGCCTCCAGCGGCCGGGCTCATCCCTCAGTGCACCTCAACCAGCTTCGTCGGGCTTCAGCCGCTGACGTAGCAGTGGGATCGCCTGCCCTTGGTGTGAAGCGTGAAGCAGAGGCCGTCACAGCAGAATGGAATGCGTACTTTTTCCAACCCCGAGCCATGTGGGTGCGACTGGCCTTCGAGCCGCCTCGCCTGCAACATCAAGCCGAATACAGTCCTCATATGCCTGGCGCATGGGATTCCTCATTTGATCATCACCGCCCCCATCACCTAGGCCGGCCTATGCCTCCTTCTCTGCCACCGAACCAGCCTCTATTTTTCCATCCCTACTGGCCCCCCCAACCACAGCAGCAGTTACAGCCGGCGCGAGTTTCACCGAGTGGTTTTAACTTTGCTGGTATCAAACTCAACGACGAAGGCTTCTCCATTGGCAACAGGTTCGTCGTGGATCGCAACGGCGTTCGCGTCGGTGGACTGGTTGCCGATACCAATGGGGTCAGCTACCGAGACAGCGTCATCGCTGGGCCAGGCATGTTCAGTGGAGGATTCAACCATGGCTACCCGGGAACCGTATATCACAACACCCATCCGAACGTACAACATGGCCCGCAGGTTAATACTTGTTACTCGAGGCCGGTGCAGGCACCAGGATTGCCTCCTGGGCCAGGCTCACTTCCTGGGTCATTCCCAATAGATGATCAGAAACCACACATGAATCACTATCCACTTGTTCGCATCCCTCCCCTGAGCCTGCCCGTACAGCAGCATCAGCGCAGAGAATCTGGGTCCTCGACCGGCTCAGGGTCACCAGCAAGCTCCGACTCATCGCTCAGTTCTCTGCCGGATCATGACGACCTCAGTGTCTCGCAATTTCCCGTCTTCCATAGAACGCTGCACGCATGGTTGATAAAGCCCGAAGAACACATTACGAAGCAGAATGTTCAACGTCTCAAAGCTGAATTGGCCGAAGCCAAGCGGACACGCTCAGAGTACCCATCTCAGAATGTCGACAGCAAGGTCATGCGTGCCGAGATTAAAAGTCTATCGCAAGCATTCCGCGCGCTGAAGAGGGCACAGCGAGGTATACGGAGAGGGCGCAGACGGGAAAGGAGGGCGAGGGAAAAGGCTGAGCGAAAGGAGTGGCGGGGGCAGAGGCACGGGAGTGGTGTTGCCTCTGGGGCAGGAGGGAATCCGTGGGGCCTACCGGGGCCGGCACCTCTGACCGTTCCGCCGCGGGTGCTGCCACTGGGGCCGGGTCCGATGACGTGTCCACCGGGCGGTTTTCCTCCTGGTGCGTGGAACGCTGGGCCTGACTCTGCACTGCCGTCTGCTCTACCTCTGAGCCATGCGCCTGGAATACCTGGTGCTCACAGTGGTGCCAATTCTAGGGATGCTCATCCAGGGGTGCCCCAAGCCAGAGGCTGGCCTAGAGTTGCCGACCAGGGGCAGCGTGGACCTGGCAGTCAAGGTTGTCAGGCAACAGACGTTCTACACCAGACATCGCAGGTTAAGTTCCGCCAACTAGATGAGCTTGAGAAGAGGCTTGCTCGCCGATGTGCACAACTCGACGAAGCTAGAGATGGACAGTTCAAGAGAAAGGAAGACGTTGAGAACGAGGCCGTCTCCAAGGCCGCTGGAACACAAGAAGAGACAGATTCGGTGAGCGCAGGGAAGCAGGTGCGAAGGAACTTCGAGAGTGACCGACTCGAGGAAGAGGTAAGTTCACTGACGTGGGACGTGGAGCGATTAAGAATGGAGGCAGACGAAGCATTTGCGAGGGAATTGGAGGAACAGGAACGAAGAGAGACGGAAGCTGGCAGGTAGGAGCGCTCTTCTCATGATCAATAAAGATAGACCGTCGAGTCTGTAAAGCGTCATTGTTCTAAGTGCTCTTTTGAAACCACTCTACAGTACCTAGATATACCGCTTCGCTGGCAGCTGCACTGGGGAAGGCTGTCCAGTCGGAAGAGCCCCTCTACCTGCCTCTGACCGCCAGAGTATCAGTTTATCTGGCTTGCCGCTGGCCACGGTTCATCATCATACCCTATCCGTCACACTCCCTCGCCCCCGCCTGGGGCTTAAGGACGGTGCCAAACTGCCGTCTTTCCTTTTATGTTTCCTATTCCTTTTCTATCGTGGTTTCGGTACATCACGTCGTTTTGTTCCTTCTCCTGACTGTCAGGCATTCTTGCATAAAGCAGGTAAGCCCTGACTGCCCACCGCCACTGTTGCTTCACTTGGATTCATTCTTCTCCACGAGCTCGCCGACACCCAGCGCCTTGCCGACCTTGACCTTGCGCTTGGGCTCGCCATCGGGCTTCGACTTCTTGCTAGGATCGGAGCCGACATCGCCCACGGCCTCGCCCTCGTCCTGGTCCTCGCCCTGGGGCTCGCGCTCGGCGTCGCGCTCCTCGTTGACGCGGTCACGAATGTCGGAGAGGTCGAGGCGCATGCAGTAGGCGTCCTCGCCGTCGGCGTAGTATTTGGCCTCGGTCTTGTCGGAGGTGAAGCCGAGTGTGTCGCGGTAGAGGCGGATGGCGGCTTGGTTGCTGACGCGGACGTGGAGGGAGACGTACTGGGCACCAAAGGTCTCGACCATGGCGAGCTGGGACTGGCGCATGATCTTCTCGGCGATGCCGAGGCGGCGGTGGGTGCGCATGACGGAGAGGGAGGTGATGTGGCCGTGGGGGATGCCGTCGGCGGGCTCCTCCTCCATCTTGGCCAGCACGTAGCCGACAATCTTGGGGTAGTCGTAGGGCGTCTTGGCCGGGCGCGACACGTCGACGGCGACGAAGCTGAGCTGGGGCCAGGACAGGGCGTGGTAGAGGTAGTACTTGAGAAAGTAGTTCTCGGGGAGGTTCTCGAGGTTGGCGTGCTGGATCAGCGGGAGGTCGGAGGACTTGAGGAGGCGGATGTCCATGGTTGCGGTTGTGGATGGTGGCCGTCGTTTGTCGTAGAGCTGGGGCAGGATGAGTGGAGTGAGCGAACAGCAGGGAGAAAGGACAGACGTCGTTGTCGAAGCTTTGGGACAGCTAGCTGGCAGACTGGTGTTGAGACTTTTCGATGTCCGTCTCGCGGTGTTGCGCCCCAGTGCAAAGGCACTATTACTGTCTGGCACTTGGCGATTGAGGTGGGGATCTACACAGGGTCCGCAACTGTGTTGCA